GTACATACTCCATACCACAAGTTTGTACTTTCGTAATCGTACGTACTTTCCATACATACTCGTCCCGCAACGAGAGGGAATTTCAGAGCGAAGGAGCGAGAGGGGAGTGAGAAAGAATTTAAAAGCTGAGGGGAGGGAGAAAGAGAGAGAGAGCGCCTCTACAGTAGATCGAGCGAGTTACACATTGTATCGGAGGCGTTCATAATCCGCTAACCGCTCGCAATTTCTCGCCAGCCTCGCCCCGGTCATGAATAACCACTTACGCGGCTGAATATACATGAAAGAGTTTGCATACAGGCTGATTCAGAGCCGACAGACTGCCCCCCTCCGTGGCGTAACTCCTTTTCGAGGACGCGAGGCTTTTTTATCGCGAGGGGTTAACCTACAAAGAACGCGGCGGGGTCAAAGTTCGAGATAGGGTTCCGCGTATGTGTTCAACGTGCATTTAGTGGCGATAGATGGGGGGGGAGCCTTCAAAGGCATACTCTAACTTGTCTTTAAGGTGATGTCAAAGTGGCGTCGAAGAGGTTTCGTTTATAAAACTTTTCTCCCGACTCGGTCTACCGAATAGTTTGAAACTTTACAACGTGAATGGAGACACTACAAGGAAGGTCCTGAAACTCATGAAATTTCAATTCTTGTCAAATATCTTTATAGGTATTTTAAAAATAGTTTATAAAAATTCTTATTGTCTCCTCAAACCCGCGGTAAGGTTTCGCGCGATTCGGTGCATCCACTCCGTGGAAAAGTTCCATAAACGACTGACCCCCTCAGCCGGCGCTTTCATATCACGTTTGAGGCATCATCTTAACGAGAAAGGGAAAAAAAAAAGAAGAAAAACCAACAAAGAAGCAAAGGAAACGCGAAGAACGGCAATTTCGGTTGCGGCTCGTCGAGGGTCGTTCGACGGAGTCCGTCGGTAAAGGCAGACAACTGCACTCGAGTCCCGGATCCGCCGGTAAAAGGGAGGCGAAGTGTCGCACTCGGTCGCGGGAATACGGGTCAGCACATCGCTGAATAAGCCGGCTCTGTCCCTCTCGGTCGCTCCTATACGGGCGCGCATCCGTCCCTCTCTGTCGCTCCCTCCTCTACGGGCACGCGTCCGTCTTTCTTCGTCACTCCTGTGCGTGCGCGCATCCGTCCCTCTTCGTCGCTCTTATACGGGCGCGCGTTTGACTCTGTCACTCCTCTCTGTCGCTCCTATACGGGCGCGCATCCGTCCCTCTCCGTCGCTCCCGCGATACGGGCGAGCGTTCGTCTCTCCGTCGCTCCTCTACAACCGCGCATCTCTCCCTCCCCGTCGCTCATCTACAAACGCACATCCCTCTCTCTCCGTCGCTCCTCTGCAACCGCGCAGAGTCCGTCTCGCTCGGCGCGCGCGACTCGGCTCTCCGCGAGCGAAAAGCAAATTACGTAAGGCAAGAACGAGGGCTCGTTTAAATACCGGCCGGGGAGCGCGAGGAAAGGAGAGCGAGAGCGATACAGGCGCCGCGCGCGGGAGAGAAAGAGAAGGCGAAGGCGCGTGCTCGCACTCGCGCGAGGAAAACACGGGAATGACCGACGAGGAGGTCGGGGGGGGGGGGAGGCTACGTATGTGCGAATATACATGGTGTCCCAAAAAAAATCTACACACACGTTTACAGTCCGTGACCCTCATTTTTCTTACCTTTTAAGGTGTCATGAGAGTGTAACGTACATACACCGAAAAGTCAAATTATATATACAAGTTTTCTCCAAACTGGGGGCACCGAATAATTTGAAACTTTAACGCGATGGCTTTGGAGGCCCTAACAAAGGTCGTAAAGCCCGTAAAATTTCATTTTTCATGTTTCTACACCTTCGTTAGGACCTCCGCGATCCCGCGTTAAAGTTTCAAATTATTCGGCGTGGAGATGTTATCTAAATATTCTGACTTCGTAGTCCGATATATACGACACTTTCATAACACCTTAATTAGATCCTATTAACTGTCGACTTGTTTGTCTCGTTTCGTGACGGCGCGGCCGGTAATCGTTTACGAATTCAATAAAGAGTTTCGACATTTCCAACATGGCGGCCGAGATGGCCATCGGGAAAAACAAGATGGCGGCGGGCGCGCCGAGTGCAGGTGGCGGCGAGTCTCCGCGGAATCGACGGCTGACCGATCGATCGGCGATCGGGGACCCTCGTTATCGGATCCCCTCGCCGGAAGAGACGACGAGGCATCTTCCCCGGGTCGCCGTTCTTCGGTCCGAGCCCGAAACTCGAAGATAAAGGAAGAGGATCGCGCCTTTTAATTAAAACTTTTCCGAGGCAGGCCGCGCGTCGGGGGCCGGGGAAGCGATTTGACTTTCTCCCCCGGATTTCCATGGAGTCGCCGCCGAATAGCCCGCAATCTACTCTTTAAGTAATTTCCCCCGTCGACGAAAGTTAGGTTAGGTTAGGGGTCCCCCCCCAAGGCGCCGCGTGGAGACTCCCAGGTGCGCCTTAATAATCGCCCCCGGAGATTGATAAACAGAAAGACCGACGAATAACTTCAATACAACGTTTCTCTTAGGGAATAAGGAAGGCAATGAACTTCGCAACGGATTCCATTGAATTGTGCTGAAGTGGCCATGTCAGCTTTATGTACATCCCTTCGTTCGATGCAACTTAATGACGAAAACTTATTACCAAATGGGGTGGCTGAACAAAAAGAGAAAGAAAAATAAAAACACAAAAATCAATCCAATGCTATGTAAACCAGATAAAGGAGAAAGGGGAAAAAAAGAGAGATAAAAATTAAATTCACGCTTCCGTAAGTCTGGTACCGTTAATGTCGTTACCGATTCCACGCGACCAGAGCGTGGCGGGTTATATAGGTTTAGGAATCGCCGATAAAAAAAAAAAATAAAAAAAACCCCAACAAGGAGATGGGAAACAAACAAAACCCGTATCCTCCCGAAAAAAACCGAAGAATATAAAGAGAAATACCCACGAACAATACCAAACTCGTCCATAGTTCCAATTTCGCGCCAAATGCATTTAAAAGCACGCGCGAAAAGCACCGAATACTTGACGTCAAAGTTCGGCACTTGAATTCGATAAATGTGTATTTTTTTTTCCCCTGCAATAAGAGCACTTATCATGGACTCCGGTTTGCCATCACGAAACTACGCTCCGTTTCGAATGGACAGTAAAATGTCGCGTGCCATAACGGTCCCGAAAATGCCATACTACCACGTACTAATATGACATCACAAATGCAAGAATAACAGTACGGCTGACAACGCTGCGTCCATGGGGCCGCGCGCCGCGGCGTTCCGCGAAACGGGGACACACCGTAGCGCGGCATCGGCGGCGCGGCGCGGCGCTCCGAGCGAGAGAAAGAAAGAAAGAAAGAGGTACCCGCATGCTCGGCCAAGGGAGCGAGAGAGAGAGAGAGGTACCCGCATGGTCGGCCGAGGGAGCGAGAAAGAGAGAGTGGGAGGAGCAAGAGTCATACGAAGGGAGAGAGCACCGACGAATGAATGGTATTCTAGATGCGTCCGAGAACGCGGGCCGCGCGTACACTCGCGGCAATTAATGGCCGGCGAAGCACGCGCGGCCCACGCGAGGCCTTCTTTCGCGCGACACTGTTGCGACTCGCATCGAGTCGTGCGCTCGAATGAGCCGCGGGTAGGAAGGGGGAGCGCGGGGAGTGAGGGAGGGGGAAGCGCGTGAACGCGGGGAGAGGGGAGGGGAACTCCCCGCCGGCGAAACCGTTTCCAGGATTTTCAAACCAATTAGAGAGAGGGGAAGAGATTCTCTTCCCGATACATTTTCTGTCACGAGCCATCACTCTTGCGTTAGTGAGACTTATGCAATTTATTGTACTTGTTCTCTGTAGATTTATAATAAATGTAAGGTGATCAGAGGTTAGGGTTGAAAGGAAAAAAATTCAAGATGTGTATTTTTAAAGCTGTTAATGCGTCGCGGTTTTTAAGGGATGCGCGTGTAGGGTGTGTGACGTAGTATGACGTAAATATATGTATTTATATATTTAAATGGACGTCGATTTTATTTTCTTTATATATATCGTATACGTATCGGTCTTTTTTCGTTCTTTAAAGAATTCCCACATTTAGAAGACTGGTCTCGGGAATCTTCAAGTCGATAATCCGTTTACAAAATGGCACGAACGTCCGATACTTGGAAAACGATCGATCTCCCTTGACCTTCGCGAAAACAAGTGAAATGTTATAAGGCTATTCCGAGAAAGCTTTCTCAGGTATTTTAATTTCTGACACGAAACTGGGAAACATCCGTCCTCCTCGATTCGTAAAAAAAAAATCCTTACCCACCGAGAACAATTTCCAGGAAGTTTTTATCGCACCGATTAATCCCGGATTTTTCGGGTCTAGGTTCAGTGAATCGCATTGATAAATACTCGGATTCGACCCTGCGTGTCTAGATCGACATTTAAATTCGAATGTCGACGTACGACGGTAGAACCGTGAAATTGAATCCGTGAATAAATTCGGACGCGGCGAAAAATGAAACTCGAGGATCGGGAGCACATATCCCACGTCCATGACCGCCCATCGATCTCGGCGTAACAGTCGAAAGTCGCGCATCAACGGTATATCGACACTCTCTTACGTCGCTCGCCGAGTCGAAGCCGAGTGCACGAGCGATAAACAACGCAACGGTTCGGAGCCTGGAGTGGAAGCCCGGTCCGCGGCGAGTGCGCCCTCGCGGCATTAAAGCGCGGCTCCGATTGGCGGGTCCAACGGCAAGTCGGTCGGCGGCTCCAGCGGCAAGTTGCGGGCGCGCAAGGTGCGTCGCCGCGGCGTCTCCCGCCACGTCGGTGGCGCGCGACGCGGCGGCGCGGGGGGCGACGCGCGCGTAGGTGTCGCACGCATGCACCGCGCGCACGCCGCGGGCGGCGCGCCGCCGAGAGGGACGCGCTCTCTCTGACGGGGACAGAACGCGCTTGCCGGGTGGACCCAGGGGGTGGAACCCGGTGAAAAATCTAGGCTATCTCGAATCTAAGGACTGACCTGTCGGAGGCGACTCGCGCAGTCGTCCCTGGCCGTGGTGACGGTGCTGGTGGCGGCGGATGCGCCCCCGTTCCCCGGTGGCGCCCGCGTCCGGGCGGCGCGAGCCGTGTCACCGGGCGCAGGCGGCCTCTGGCGGCTGCTCGCCCGGGAGGCTCTCCACCGTCTCGCCGGGGCCTCTGTCGAGAGGCGACCGAAGGGTCTCTCTGGGTCCGCTCGAGTCGAGACTCGCTCTCGGCCGCCGCCGCCGCCGCCGCCGCCGCGGTGTCTCTCTCTCGCTCCCTCGGGCCCGCGAGCACAGGCTGGAGCTCCGCCGGCCGCACCGCTGCGTTCCTGGGACACCTGAGCGCTCCCGCGCGCCCGCCCGACGCCCCGCGCTCCCGAAATCCGCTCGATCCGACGAAAAACGATGACCGATGACCGCACCACTATACGCTCGCGACTCTCTCCCTCGCTGGAGGAAAATGGCGGCCCCCGGCCGCCCGAGTGACTCGCGCGCGCCTCCGAGCCGAGCCGTCGCCGCCCGAACGATGCCGGACTGGCCCGAGTCGGCCCGAGCGATCGCGAGCGGCGGCGAGCGACGAGACACCGCCATCTTGCGCTGCTCCTACGGAACTTAAGGCGGACGGAATTAAATCGGAAACCGTGAGAGTGCACTGCCGAGGGACAAAGGGGAATTACGATCGGACATTATTAGCGTAAAAAAACTAGGTAAATTGCCTAGGGTATTTTACTTAACCCATCTTGGTGTGCGGGGGGATTTACTAAGTACCTACCATGGAAACGCGCCACTAGTTTCCAACTCTTCCGATAAACTGACAGTTGACGGGTTTTGCGGCGCTATTCGCGCTGCTCACTTCAGGCGCAACTAGGAGGGAATAATTTTTCTAGCAGAGCTTTGTTTTTCCATGAAGATCCCACGAGACGTGCGAGGGCTGTTTCCGCGGAGAGAACGCTGGGACCCCCGAGGTTGGTAATTCCGTCGACGAATCTCTCGGCGAAGCCTCGTAGAGGAGCCCGCTCTTCACGGATATTCGTCCCATCACCGGATTTCGCGACAGCGATCGAGATAACGGAGGGCGACCGAATCGCTGATAGAACTGGCAAGTACATGGAAATGCCAAGGTTTTGCAGCTCCAAATTATCACTCTCCACTGCCTGAAATCCCCGTTTAAAAGGTACGAAATTTTGCCATCGGGCTCACATTTATATTCTGCAAGTGATCGGAACTGTCTCGCAGTGAGTTTTACCAGTTTTATAATTTGCTTCGATATCGTAGCTCGGTGTTGCGACGGATGAGAGGGTGCCAGTGCTAGATGATAAGCCACAGCAGAGCAAAGCGATTCGGGGCTCGAGGCGAGGGTAGGCCAGGATTCTTTGCAAGAGCACAATAGCTGCCGCCACGGCTTTCACCGAGATGGTTGGACTGGCGGGCGGGGGAGGTCACCTCTATCCCTCGCCCCCGATGCAGCCTAGTACTGAATGTAAGTAAATAATCTATGAAAAGCATCGCAAGGCCGTGACCCTTGCTCTTGTCTTTTGCCGAAAGCCCAAGATTTTGATCGACGATAGATTTTTAACCGCAAAGGCTTCCAAGATGTCTGTGCCTTAAAGTTTTGTCCTAAGTCTTATAAGAGCCAAATGATCATAAGTTGTATTGGAGTTTCTTCCTTCAGGTTACATTTTCTGCACAGGGGCTGATTTCAGTCCTTATCTTGCTTCTATGATAGTTAAATAATCTATGTCTAATCGACTGACATGGCTGCTCTATCAAGCTTTAAAATATTTATTCCATTTGTTGTCCTGAGGTTAAGGCGTAACAGAATTTTAGCTTGCCGCTATAAGTACATAATTGATAAAGGTGATTCTATATTCGATGGAATGTATTAGGTAATTGGATTTGCTTCCATTTGCAGTGAGAGAGATGACAGGGATTGCACCCAGCGCACCGACCAGTGCTGATGCTTGCCTGAGCATAGTTCATTCATTAATGTGTCACAGACAGGGTGGAGAGAGCGAAGGATTCAGCAAACGTGCTATCGAGTCTTTGGTTAAAAAACTGAAGGTATTTAGAGTCTATTAACGATCCCTGCCCCATACTGAACTTTCTGTCTACGGCATGTTAATTTGCTTTAATTGCAATTTCCTTAGCGATACAGGTTTTAATGTGATATTTTTGGTGCAGGAAAAACGTGACGAATTGGACAGTTTAATAACGGCCATCACAACAAATGGTGCACATCCTAGTAAATGTGTTACAATACAGCGGACACTTGATGGGAGGCTCCAGGTTGCTGGGAGGAAAGGTTTTCCTCACGTCATATATGCCAGGATCTGGCGATGGCCGGATCTGCACAAGAATGAACTCAAGCATGTCAAATACTGCCAATTTGCATTTGATCTCAAGTGTGACTCGGTATGCGTTAATCCATACCACTACGAGCGAGTCGTATCACCTGGCATAGGTATGTTACGTGTTGCTAATAATTTCCATTCCCACCCTTTATTTAAGCACTATCTTGTATATAATAACTGTGCATAAACAATGAAACTTTATTTAGAGTCTAAGAAATAACAATAGTTAGATACAGATTTGATTTTCATACAAGGATATTGGATTATTAACTTTGAAAACTGATATTCATGTAAATTGAAAATTTGAGATGGTATTACATTTTGGAAACAAAGTGTATTATCAATTTTTTTTTCTTTAATATCTCAATATTTTTTGCAGCTCAGAATTACATAAAAATATTAGAAATAACGTATAAATTTATTTGATATCGTGAGAATAATAACGTCTTCATAGACGTTTAATTGGAACATAAGACCTTTTAATATTAAGCATAATTTTAATTAAGAATAGTAGTAATTTAAAGCTTTGATAAAACTACATGTTTAGTTGTTGTAATGTATGCCTTGGTGCTTAACGTAAAGCTTGTGTGATTATATTATTAGCGCCTCTAGCTTAATTATTTCATTATTCTTGGCTTGGTGTATGACGGAGTGGGTTGGTTTCCCCCACACAGATCCATTCTTTACAGACCTTTCCGGATTAACCTTGCAATCCGGAGTCGGAGTAGGTCCAGGTGGACGTCTCGTCAAAGATGAATACACTGTCGGGGGTGGAGGAGCTGGAGCTGGGGGAGCTGTAAGTGTTGGTGTAGTGGGACCGGGAACAGGAATGGACGTCGATGGAGAGATGAATCAAACGATTCAACATCACCCTCCGCCACCACCACCAGCTGCAAATAATCCACAACCACAACAACAAGCATTCATGCCTGGCCTAGGGCCACCCAATCCGAGTAAGACTTTCTGAAAATACATATAACCACTTTTCCAAAAAAACTACTACAAATAGTATTTATTCTGCACGAAGGATTTTAGAAGCTTTTCTGCTAGATCTGTCATGGCGAAGAATTTGAGACCACGATTTCTATTATATTAAATATTTAAAAAGGTCAGATTCCACCATCATAAATTACATAAACAATGAAAGCGAGGTTATGGTTTTCATAACCTTATTCTCTGATCATGAATACGCAATTACTGGTTAATTAAGTAGCTCTTACGTTGATTCATTTGTCGAAGAACTTTTTGCCTGCGACAGAGAATCAATGGATTTATTCCGCTTGTTATTCTTCGCTACTCCTTTCCTCAGTTGCAAGTTTCGTTTCAGTTTCGTTCACGCTTCGTTCTTTCTTTTCGGTTTATGTTGTCTCGTACAGCCAGTGGCGAGGGTATGTTTGGCGGGGGTGGGGGCGGGAATAGTGGAAATCCTCATGGCAAACTGGAAGATAGTAATTGTCCCCGGCAGACGTGGATCCCTACGCCTCATCATCCTTCGTCGCGTAACATGCACCATCGTACGTACCAATAGTTACGAAGTCTTTAGTCTAGATTTTCTCATTCCATAGTTCTCCCGTATTTGTAACGTATGCGTGATAAAATAGAAAAGTAAAGAGCGAAGAAGATCTGGATGCATTGGACCATTGCAAATTAATTGCATCCTAGTTACATGTCTGCATCGATTGTATCTGCATAATGTGGATCATCCATCCATATTTTATTTATCTCCTTTTGATTCATACTTCAAATATCTTCTTTGCTCTGTAATATAGAATTGTACCGTAATAATAATACCCATATGCAGCGTATGTCACACGAACGATTACTAATTACTGCAGCAGTTGTTCATCCAATGAGTCATGCTGTAAACAACCAGCAACAGTCTCTAAATCCAGCTGGTGGCAGCGGAGGGCAGATCTTGAGTCCCACTCAGGGACAGACTACGGAGCCCTTTTATGGTACTGCCACGCCACCTCAAGAGCTTAACCAACCACCGACAAGTGTAGATGCTTTAGCAGCTTCTCTTGGTATGTCTCTGATAATTATCCACTTTCTTCGTAACCTCTGAATTTTACTAACGAGATTTCGATTTGGGAAAAGCAGGTGGCAGCCAATCTTCACCCGTATCTCCAGTTCATTTGCACCATCAGAATGGGTTCACAGTTGCTTCGGCTGCTAACCCTTACAACACCGGAGCACCACAATGGACAGGAGCGAACACTCTTACGTACACTCAGAGTATGCAACCACCCGACCATAGACATCTCCACACAACTTCTTATTGTAAGTTTGTTGTTAACACTTCCATTGGAAAGAAATGTCATTTGTTAACTAATTTGGGTGATACTTCTTTTGGAAATCATTTTTTATTAACAATTCGCATACCTTTAGGGGGAGGCCATGGTGGTGACGTAGGGGGCAGCATAGGTGGGCTGCTGTCGACTCAGCCTGCTCCGGAGTACTGGTGCTCCGTAGGCTACTTCGAGTTGGATACTCAGGTTGGAGAGACGTTCAAAGTCAGCAGTGGGTGTCCCACAGTCACCGTGGATGGCTACGTTGATCCAAGTGGTGGAAATCGATTTTGTCTCGGGGCTCTTAGCAATGTCCACAGAACGGAACAGAGCGAACGGGCGCGTTTGCATATAGGTGAGGATTGTAATCTTATTTTTCCATGATGCGTGTATTTACGTAAAATTACGCTAGGTAATACAAGGGTGTGTACAATTGTTTATCGGGTGACAAGTCATGATACTGATGGTTATTGACTCCAGGAAAAGGGGTTGTTCTGGATCTCAGGGGTGAGGGTGATGTCTGGCTTAGATGTCAGAGCGAACACAGCGTCTTCGTCCAGTCTTATTATCTGGACCGGGAGGCTGGCCGGGCTCCTGGCGACGCCGTCCACAAGATCTATCCTTCGGCCTACATCAAAGTCTTCGATTTGCGCCAATGTCACAAACAGATGAGAGGACAGGCCGCAACCGCGCAGGCTGCGGCTGCGGCTCAGGCCGCTGCAGTTGCTGGTCATCTGACGCACGGTGCACCGATCACTAAAAGTTCGTCCTTACAACATCACTAACGACATAAAGACCCCCGCAGAAATTTCTTCTCCGAGACCTTGTGTTACCATATATAGTATAGTATATAGCATAGTTTTAGCGTAGAAGCGCACAAGACACTATTTTTTGCCCCAAACATTTTTGTATCGAGAAAACTACCACTACCATTTTCGAAGTCTTTTAACAAGTAAATTAATCTAATCGTGCGGTGTATTTGTCATCAGGTCTCAGTGCAGCAGCTGGCATCGGGGTGGATGATCTTCGTCGACTCTGCATCCTTCGGCTGAGTTTTGTCAAAGGCTGGGGACCCGATTACCCCAGGCAGAGCATAAAGGAGACTCCGTGCTGGATCGAGGTATAGATCCTGAAATTTAATTATTAATACGGTGTCGATATTGAAATTAGTAAAAAGGGCAAAAATTATAAAATGTTAAGTATAAGTTCATTATAAATTCTCTCAACTGAGTTATAAATATTTATGTGGTTGAAGTATTGAAGTTTAGTGTAAAGTCCTTGGTGGTGTTCACGTAAATAAGACGATGTAGACGTATATGATTTGGCGCGAAACTCTATCGAATTTCCAGATTAAAATAATTCTTTCGTCACCAGGTGCACCTCCATCGGGCCCTTCAACTCCTGGACGAGGTCCTGCACACGATGCCCATAGACGGGCCTCGGGGTATCGAATAGTAGAGCAGCTAATAAAGACAAAGATGACAAGTCAAGGGTAATGGGGAACCGACGGGATCCTGGCCTGCGCCATGGCGCGAATGCACAACCTGAGGGTGAACCAAATCCATGTACGTTTGTACTCTACGAGCGTGGAAAATGTTAAAAGAGTATGTTACGCGTTACCACGACGCTTAGAGGCTATGATAGAGACGGGGTCGCCGAGGAAGAGCTCCGCGCCAAGTGCGAATCGAATACCTCCACCGATGATGTGAACCTACGGTGCAGTATTCCATTCGACAAGATCTTACGAAACAATCTCTCCGTAGTGTCATTCAGAGAACACTCAGAAGACACTTCCGCATGATTTGGGTTATTCTTATACAGAGCGTTTGAATTTTGGCCATCGTAGGATTTCTCGAAGGACAGTTTTATGTGAAGTCAAATGCTCCGTAAGGGAATAATTCAGTCTGTGAGGAATGCTTGACATATGTACAATATATATATTATATATATATTATGTAATGTGTATATTATACATATTATATGTATATTGCGTGGGTTGGAACGCTTTTCTTGGGGATGCGTTTCAATTCGTGCGGACTTTCAAGCAGGTGATGTCAGTGCGAAGGAGCACTTGCTTCGTGGCTCTGGGCTACCGTCATTGTACAAAAGCACCAATGTCGGATGATAGTGATACACACGTTGTTGTGCTGAGTTTGTCCTTAGTTTGGGTGCCGTGCTACAGGTACGAAAAAAATTGCCAGGAAGTGGCATCTCTTGTTGATCGTCTCTGCGATGCAGAGGTGACGAGAGCTGTTTTTTCCTGTCGAAGCCTCTGGCGCGCATGGACATGTGCGCGGCCCGAAACGCGCGACTCGAAACCATTGATAGCTTTCCTTTCAACGTTAGACTCGTGAACAATAGCTTATAGTAGATGAAAAGTATCTTATTACTCCGTGGGTCCGCCGCTCCTTGCTTGTACCGAACGGTGACACTTATTACACCGGTAAGAAACGATTGCGGGCGCGCAGTGCTGTCTTTAAGGTGATTTATAAAAGTGACGTCTAATAGATCACGTTTATGAAACTTTCTTCCTAACCTCCGATTCGTTTGAAATCTTACATATAGAAGACGTAAGGTCTCGATGAAATTTAATTATTAAAAATTCATTAATAAATGCTTTTTAATTTTTTTTTATTCGGAAGATTCAACGAGTCAAGACCTTTTTTAGAGCCTGCACATTCACGTAAGACTTCAAACGATTCGGTAGATCCACTTCGATGAAAAGTTTCATAAACGATCGATCGTTCAAGTGCCATGATTATGTCATCTCGAAAGCATCGGGTATCTGGAATTCATATTTGTTTCGTTATAAACGATAATTAGTTACGTTTCGCAACGCTCAAGTCGAACTGTCATGCCTCCAATTTCACTATTATTACGGGACATTTGTTAAAAGCAATTTCTGGGCTGGTCTTCCGCTCGACCTGTTAACCAATAAATTCGCTGTCAGTCAATGACAGTTTTACCATGCCGTTGCATAAATAATATCGATCGATGCACTCGAGCAGGATACCAGCCAGGGGTTTACTGTTTATCGACTATTTTGTTATTACGCGCTCGTACAAAATGTTCATATAATACATTATATTTGATAACGTGATTAACTAGTACTGGAGCTGACCAAATTTTTTATACTCGTACACACTCGAGCATGCGCAGTACACTCGAAGCGAAGGAGAGGCGAGCACCATTCATCTGTAGATAAAGAATTGTTTTGTCGCTTGTTCTTACGTGATTGACACGCACTGCGTATATATATTTCGAATTTTTGCTTTGTTGTACTCGATTAGAGTTTATTTAGCTGCATGTTGCGAGGTGTTAATGTGTACCGCGTGACAACTGAGTTACCGTCGCGATGAAATATTACTTAGTCCAAGTTAGATTGGGAACCGTTACATGGAAGATCGCTTGTCACCAGATGGAGAATAATTTTAAAGGGGTTTTTAAATGTTTTATACTTGAGAGAACTCGGAGGTTAGGGGTCGTTCTTCTTTATAACCTTAAAAAGAAAAATCAATAACTTTTCTATTTCAATGTTCAAAGATACCTCTCATACCTCTTTTTTGAGGCGCCGGATTAATACTATAAAGTAACAATAAATTTTTGTTGCAAATTATCATTAAACTTTTTTTTTATTATTATTTAAGAGCAGCTTGATAATTACCAAAGAGAGGTTTCATTAAATGGCGTATTTACTGAGATAAAAATCCATAAAAATCTATAAAAATAGTTTCATTTTTTTTCACATGTAAAGTAGAATGACCTCTTAAAGTAAAGAGACTCGAGAGTTACGGGTTTAGGTGGTCGAACAAAGTGCAATTAATTTCCAGGCAAGCGTGGATTAGTCTTGGCCCGATGTGATGTCTTTCCAAAATTCTGTCTAAGGTGTAAATGAGCGATTTTCCATGAAATATAAATAGCGGGGAATACCGGTAGTACCAAAACTCATTATAGCGAAGGCAGGAGAAATCTGTCGTAAGGATTTTTTTGTTTATTTACGTTAACGATACACGACACTTACAATAATATTACGCCGATGCGACCAGGCAGGACGTGTGCTTCATTTTGAAAAAGTTAAAAGAGAGAGAAATTGAGAAAAAAAATGAGAGTCCTAAGCATACTTGATGTCGGGTCGTATGTTACAGGCGTACGTGCCATCTTTTACATACGCGTATGTATGTATGTACTATAATATACAATACATACGGAGATAGGGCTTAGAGTCTTTTTTACAAATCCTATATTTTTATCGATGAAGCTTCGGGGTATGTTCGCTGACACCAATCCTGGCACGGTGAACTATAGGCTGCGATAACCTCCAAAGGAGAGTGAAGATAAAATGCGAAAAAAAATGATGAAGAAGATTAAAAGATGCTAGGGAAAGAGATACGTCGAATCAATTTTTATACATCGATACAGGCCAAATCAATGTGTACGTCGTTTCGTGGCGACTTACCTCGATTTTTTTACACTGAATGTACATACCTCGTGGCAGGACTAACCGGCGAGTTAAATCACGTGCGACTGTGTAAACGCCGATTAAGAGACGCGGTAGAGTCTCGCGCCAAGTGCATACTTTTATACAGCTACGATCTCTTCCTCTGATACACAACCATCTCTCTCTCTGTTTCTTCGTTCCACGTTATTCCTTCAAAATCAGTAGTAGTAACGTGAAAAAACCGACGTCAAAGTGCAATAGTCCCATATACCGCGTCTGAGATACTGTAACTGATAGGTATATATATTAACGTTATTTAAGTATGTACCTATGTAATTTATGTTAACACCATGGAACGACTCATGTAATTTATGTTAACGTTTAGAAGACAGTTAATCGTACTTTAATGAACGCCCGTGTTATATCGAATATAATAGAGACTGCTGGTAATTTCCCTTCGTTCAAGAGAGTGAGATTCACATGGAGCTTCGCAGCGGAGACATTGTGTCTCTCCGTCACTGCTTCCCTGACGTCGATCGTAAATTACTTTGTTCGGTCCAGTTTATCCTTTCGGTGCTTCGAAATGATTTTTAAACCACTTAAGAGTTTTTTATTATATTAGGTAGAATTATAAAAGGTTTTTTTAATATGAATTGGCAGGTTCAAGGGGAGGTTTTAATCTACAGGGAACGAGTGAGTAACCTTAAATGGCGTCAATGGTCCATAATGAGCTTCCTTTGAGAAATTATGAAAGGAAAGGTGAATTGGATCGGCCAAAATAGACCTAAGTTGCGATCGTTACGTTATATGGCGAAGCCTGTTTTTGTTTCCCCCCGTTTTTCACCATGCGAACAACATAGATTCACCTTCGAACTCGTATATATCTCGTCATACCCATAATATTGCACATATGTCACTCACATGTCACTGATACCAATTTTTGTTAATGTTATTAATTGGCGACATTTAAAATGTCTCGTTAAGGGGGCTCGTAACTATTGACGCTGTTGAAAGTATTCATATTTTAAACCGATACAGGAAAGAAATGGATATTTTTATCGCTGTCGATAGGTATGAGCTCCATTAAATTAGTTGGCGGTCAAAATTAGCAAGGATGAGTGTTGCGAGATTCACTTCTAATCGATATGTCCTACGATGACATGATCGATGTAAGGTGGAGTTACGTTCACTTGGAAGTACACTGTCCATTGTGAAGGATCGATTCATATTTCCTGCCAATTGTGGTATGATTTCAATCATCGAGCATCATATGCATTGTAAAACACATTAGTTACGTGAAAGTAGCACAAAGTCCCAGTCGTATAAGGTTTCGCCGTTATGTTCCGTTCTTGAGACTCAAAGACTTGTTTTTGGATTTTAGATATGTATGTCCCACGAGCTACAATAAATATCGTTGCAATAGGATTACGATATCTAGCACTTCTGTACTTTCGACTGATACATGATCGTTCGATTCCATCAAGACTCGGTTCATCTTAAATAATGTCTGTGGCAGTCTTTTGTGACAGACCGTAAGAATTGTCACCGAAGTCAGCTGCAACAGTGCACCGTAACGTCGCAGTAGCAATTACGCAGTCATTGAGATCGTGCGATATGTCTGAAAGTTTCGTTATTGTACTATAGGAATATACTACGATATATTATACATGATCATTTTCAATAAACATATTTCACAAATTAAAGTGTTTACAATGCAGCATGGTAAACAACACTAATTAAAATGAATCGATATTTGGTGCAACATTTTTTGATAATACCACAGATATTCACTTAAGGCTTTAAAATGCAAACCAAAATACATAATTAGTTGAAATTGTCATATTATGGATCGAAGATAATTTTGTAACTGTTCATACTTTGCAGTCATTTAATGATTTGAATGTTGACGAATATTTTCACTGGCGAATTTGTATCCTAGATCTGGAAGGGGCTTTAGCAGGTGGCTCGTATTTGCCCTCGTAACGATTTCCATCGGCGTCTATAGCTACGTTATAATCCACAACGTTTTCCAGAATATTTTCAATCGCTGCGTCAATGTTCTTCTCAGTGATAAATGTATGAGCTATCTCCTTTTCTTTCCTAATGCGTTCGTCGACGAGCTTCCTTTGTTCTTCGGCTTCCTTCTCTGCCATTATTATTTTCTGTAATACCCGTTCCTTCAACGCTGCCTCCACGGCAAGTAGACGTTTCTCTCGGTTGTTGGCGATGTTTTTGTTCCACTCTTCATTCATTTTGAAGCACCTTTCGAAATCCAACTTCTCGACTCTTTCCAACTCCTCGACGTTGAGTTCCACTCTATTGTCGATGGCAAATTTCTTAAAGAACTTGCTGGAAATAAAAACAGGAATACGATTTAGTTAGTAATTTTCAACGAGATTAGATTATGATTTTATTGAGACTTCGACTATACCTCAAGGAGTTCATATATGTTTTGTAGTTATTGTTCAGGCGTTTTAGCTCCTCCATCTCTTCTATAGGTATCTTTGGTCGTTTAGGTACCCGAAATAACTTCGTTTTTGCTGTCGGCAGCCAGATAGGTTTCCGCTTCCAGCGAACAAATTGACCAGAGACTGCATTAGGTCCAAAGCATAGCGGTACGACTACATTATTAACTGTCAGTGAATTTGTGCCGATTAGCCTCATTCTTCGTATCGCAGTTAATGTCGAGGGCACTAAAAGCAAGTTAAACCTGATTAGATAAGTTTTCTAAAATTGATGTAAGTTATTATAACTCAACAATACATGAGACTTACCCTCCAATGTATCATTAATCTGACTTTTGAATCCAACCGGTATATAGAAAGGTTATGAATTCACGCGAAGACTTGAGACGTTCATTAAATACCAGACCTTAAGAAGTTCCTTTTAACTCCAGGGCGAATAACGGACATGCGTTTTATTGAAAACGTTAAATAATCCCCCAAAAAGTCGAGAATAGTTCTACGAAGCTCGGGAACTTTTTCTCAACTTTTAGCCATAAACTAGAAACACTCCGAGAAGTCCGAATCGTTCATTCTTTGAGTGTCCATAAATGTGTGCTGCCCTCTGGGGAAAGTTCAATCAACTATTACAATACTACATATTCGCGTTGCCATCCGACGATCAAAGTACAATTAAAATTTGCAAAAACAGTACATATCTTTTCATTAAAATGAAATTTTATGTATATATACGTATACATACATATAGAACGACCCTTTCATGCACCTTCTTAAGTGAAATATAATCGAATCACCAACACCCAAGGATCCGAACCGTCTGCGAAATTCCCAGGTTGAATTTCCGTCCTAATTATCAGTTTAATTATCACCAGGTGGACTAACTGCTCCAAACGTTATCTATATAACTTAACATGGAAATATTTACAGGCGTCTAATGTGGTTCCCGGAAGAGGAAGTGAGATTAACGGCAGACATCGATTATCCATGCATGTCCATCTTCGACGGGAAGTTTCAGAAAAATATGCCGATAGCCGTAATCCGCGAGTTATCTCTACATGCAACCTGGGCAGGTGTAAATCCGTGGGAAAATACACTCGGCACTTGCTATGCAGCTGGAGAAATTTGAATTCCTTTTTTTTCTTCGTTTCTTTTCCATTTGCGCAACGAGAGGTGCATGTTTGCACGCCCAAAATGTGTCCTTAGCACTACAGTAATTAGGCGTACTAATTGATCGATCGATTGTTGTCGTAATCTGCTTTTGCGTTGGGCAATACCCTTGCATTGCGACATATGATTGTACACGTGCAAATTCAAACAGAGCTTTGCCAGAGACCGGCATAAATAGGCAGCCTCGGCCAGGTCTTCCAGTAGTGCGAAAAGGCCTTATCAAGGCACTATCGTTACGTAAAGGAGAAAAACTTGTGTTTCTCTCTCGGCACAATGGCACGGCCCATGTTAGCATTTCTTTTCTCGGTGTTGGCGTTACTTCGGTTCTCTTACGGCTTTTCCGATTTCTGCCACGTCTCTCGATGCACTACCGCCAAGCAAACTGTTTGTTTATATCCCGTAAGTGAACGCCTGGGAATGATATTTTAATATGTCGAATTAAATGTTGTATAACAAAAGGAAAAGTCAAGCCTTACATGTTAAATTTTAAATTCATTCCTGATGCTGGAGAATTTTAATCTCTTGTTTTACTATTTTTTATTTTTTTTCGAAGAATGGACGCGTTTTACGCGTTACTTGAAACTCGTTACAATTCTACGTTTACAAGAGCGATTAAATTTTGTGTTACAAAAGGAAAAATTAAGACTTACATGTTAAATTTTAAATTCATTCCTGATGCTGGAGAATTTTAATCTCTTGTTTTACCATTTTTACTTTCTTTTGAAGAATGGACACGTTTTATGCGTTATTTGGATCTTGAGAATTCTGCCTTAATGGTTACGATTAAATTTTGTATAACAAAAGGAAAAATTACCACGAGTCATTTTATGGGTAAAAGTGTTTTTTCACGTTACTTAAAATTGATGAAACTTGTTATTAAGCTTTAATAGTTGCAATTATATTCTGTATAAAGAAAGGAAAAATGAACACGAGTCATTTTATGGATAAAAGTCTTTTTTCCCGTTACTTGAAATTTATGAAACCTGTTATTATGAGGCTAAGGGGGATTACTCATTTTTTCAGTGCGGATTAAATTTAAAAAATGTCACTTTTTCTGTTTCTTTTAGGACCCCCAACCATCGAAGGCATGTAACCAAGTGTACAATGCGTACTTAACTCGTAATGAGCAGATCGCTCTGGTTAAGAAGCACAATTATTACAGAAGATTTGTGGCTGCAGGAAAAGAAAAGAGAGGACAACCTGGACCGCAGCCTCCTGCTTCGAATATGCAGGATTTGGTAGGAATTTATTATATTCAATAAGCTTAAACACGTTTCTAATACATTTCAGTAACAAACTCTCCTGGGCGCACTGCAATAATAGATATTTAATAATAAAATCGTAAATTTCTACCGCCGCATATCTGCGTCCGACGTTTGGTTCAATATTGCCTGCACGTGTTCAGGAATTTCGCCCGTATGTCAAAAGAGCTCCGTCCTCGAAGGGTTAAAGGAAAAACAGAAGACTCTAAATTTTAAATTGACCATTTAATAGATTAAATATCCTATATTGATAACGCTATTATGCTAAATTAATTTAAAAGAAATATATATCGTCGGCTTTTGTTGTTAATTCTTTAATGAACTCTTTTGGAGGCGAAAATTCGCGGTTAGGAAAAAATGGATGACTTCATAATCTTTTTCTTCGTTATTATTTGTTTAATCGGCACATTTGAATTATGCACTTTGGATAAGGGAATGTTTTACTACTTTATCTGGGATAAGGAAAGTTTTACTACCTTCTTTGTTCGTGCCATGAATCAGAATTTGTTGAATGGAAAGATAATTCGGTCTGCAATTAACCAGAACTGGGGAAATGCAAACAAACTCTAACTGCGAGTCTGGCATGCATGATTCACTTGTACAAATATTTCCAATCGACAGAGGTATTTTATGATCAATAAATAAGCCGTGAAGACCATCGTCATGAGGTATTTCAGGATTTCGTGATAATAACATTTTTTACAGCCTAGGGATTCCTGCGAGAATTATTTACGCCATTTTTGGAGCACTTTTTAAATGCCTTTTGTTTTCTCTTTCCTAATTATGTTGCTCTCGAAATGGTTCACAAAATTTCCATTGCGACGAAAGAAATTACCTTTATTTTGTTCGCTTCATTGTTGGCCAATAACTAAGTCGATTTTTAATTTGCGCATTAATTATTTACGCCACTTTCGGAGCACCTGTTTAACGGAATTATTGTTTCTTCGGGAAATATTTTATCAATGACTTTCGACATTTGCATTGGAACGAGAGAAGGGAAAAAGGCGGATGCAAATTTTCTCTGTAATGTTTATAATGTTAAAAAAAAATTCACGTTTCACCGGAGTGGAAAATTACTTTTTCCGAAATCTTCCATTCGCAGATGGTGAACAGTTTATTGATTTACGTGTTTATGTCTCTAGATTAGACTTGTCAAGTGTGCCTAGCCAATGTCTAAATCAATATTGTAACTCGTGGTTTTTCCATCCGAGTAAACTCGATTAACAATGTTTGCGAGAGTAATTGATATTCCAGGTGAAGGGATAATTGCGCACGGTTTCAATACATCGAACGATCTATATTTAAAGAGCTTTGGCAAATGTTAACAATGATAAGGAATCGTATTCGAGGATAATCCAGCACCGGATTTGACCGAGAAGATTGTTAAAAGACTTTTTATCACACACTACAGATATTACAGATTGTTAATCCGGCTAAAAAATAAAAACATAAATTCCGAAATTTTATTCAATTTATTGGAATAACATTATTCTTAATCAAAGTTGTTATAAATAGGCATTGTTTATTGTTTTAGTCTTGGGACGCGGAATTAGCTTATGTTGCACAGAGGTGGGCTAATCAATGCACATTTCAACATGATAAGTGCAGAAGTGTCGGTGAGTGAAATTGTTAGAATAATTTGAACAGCTTTAGGGAATTTATGAAAAAACATTTTTCCACCTATTGTTCATTTTACAGATCGATTTGTTGTTGGGCAAAATTTGGCCCAACGTGCCACGACTGGGATTGACAATGGCCCGATTGAAAATCTGGTGACAAGTTGGTACAACGAAGTTAAGGATTTCAATGCCTCTCAAGTACCAAAACTGTCGTAAGTGTCGAGAAAAAAAAAGCAAATAATTTTTTGGAAGAAAAGAAATTCACCTTGTGTGATACCTCTGTCCGCGTCTGGTCGTTTTAATTGTTACTAATATTTATTTCCATTGCACAGTAACTTCAATGCTGCCACTGGTCATTACACTCAATTAGTTTGGGCCAAGTCTAAGTACATCGGTTGTGGAGTAATTAGGTTCAAGCCTGAAAATGGATGGAACACGACAACTCTTGTTTGCAATTATGGACCTGCTGGAAATTACATAAACCAGGAAATTTACAAGATCCGTGATGGCTGTAGTTCTCGTCTTTACTGAGAATTTTGTACACGCGCATACAATATCAATTGCATTTATGCAACTTGGATTTTTTAATAATTTTTTGGGGCATGTGCCATTCCACTTAATAATTTATCCTCAAGGATGTGTTTAACTTAATGCCTCGATCGTTTGCGAGGAATTATTTATTAAGCCGATATTCCGAATTCTAAACAGAATTCGTCGCATTACCTTCCTACTTGTTTTGTGTGTTGTTCCTATTTATTTGGATGGATTGTAAAAATGGAATTAAATTATTTCTGAAAATTCCAAACACCTCTGTACACCTTATTATTTATCCCGATTCTTTGGGGGTCTCTTTAAGCGCTCGCTCTTTACCTTATTTACCTGAAATTAATTATTGCATTAATATTCCCGGTAATTGGGGTAAAGAGACTGGGTAATTTTTTCTTTAAAAATGACTGGCGTGTCTAAAGAAGTACTCTGGAAAGACTTGAGACTTTTTGGGTAAGTATTCAGGATCGATATTTGTCACCTTGGGTCTCTCTTTATTACTGTGAGTAGCAACAATGTTAACAAGAAATACCGAACTCATTAACATTCCGTTTACCTCAAACGCCTTATACAATACACACTGGATCGCTCTTCTTTCAATAACGTTTAACCGCACATGTAGTCTTACTGTCGATGGAGATAAAAAGGTCTACCGAATTAAGCACTAGATTTTTTTTTCTTTCTTTCTTTTTATGCAATATTTTTTACTCGTGGCTCATGACAAATCGGTTGACTTTGACTTTAGGAGCTCGACGGACGTCGCAGGTTTGTGATCCGAGGGTTTCGAAACGAGCTTTGATACTCGCCGTATTTTCCCCTTTGTACTCGGTACTGATACTCTGGGTACTCTCTTCCTCGACAGTACTCTGAGTACTTATTTTCTCCTCCGCCGAAGTCCAGTGCTCGAATTTCTCGCGTAACGTTTTGGCCCTGGCTGAACATTGCGCCTCTTTTAAAAAATCGTCATCCACCTGTAATTAAGATAACATTTTCATTTTTGAGATTGCTCTTCAAGAGACAGGCAAGTTTACGCTTATCAATAAAACGCCACGTCTCTTTAACCCTTTGAACGCGGAGCCATTTCGACATATGGGCGAAATTCCTCTGACCGTGCAGGCAATATTGGACCAAACGACGGACACCTTTAGACGCTCTTAGTAGTCAAACATCACTATAACGAGCATTGCATTTTTTTTAGATCATTGTTTACAGTAACTATATAAACAATTTCCTCTTTCATAAAATCCATGCACTGTTATAACTGTTAACAATATTTCTAACAGATATATTCGACAATGCGAGCAGAATGAAATATAAAAAAAAATTAAAAATTGAAGCACCACCTTGGAGGAACTCCGGAAATATTTCGGATTAATCTCGTCGAAGGTGTAGCCTTCTTTAGCGAAATCTGCCGTATCCTGGTCTGCTTCCACTTCGCCGGGGACGGAATAATTAGCACTTTTTTCCATCTGCCGGAAGACATTTAACATTTTCTTCGCTGTACCCGAGCAGACGACGTCATTGACTTTTTCGTCGCTTCGGACGATTTCTGGATCACGGTACACCTCGTACTCCGGGGAGTCCATCTAATATCGAGAAATTTACATTTTGAGCTGGCTTAATTTTTCAACCGAGTGTGCTTAACGATATTAATTAATAATAAATACTTTTACTTGGCCCTCGCGGGGCGGCGTGATCCTAAATTGTCTCCGTTGACGTTCTGGCTCTTTGTAGGTCTCGAAAAAATTAAACTTTTTAGCGATATCCGATGTCGCTATTGTCACGTCCTCGATGACATCCGTACTGCGAACGATATCTTCCGTTTCAGACGTCTGCGACATCAAACGCCTGTGTCCCTGTTATGAAAATATTAAAATTATTTAATTGCTTACTCGACTTGGGAAATTTTTTCTCTAATTTAATACTCACTCCTGGACCATGTTGCGACAATTCTGCTGATGATTTCGAAGTGCTTAGTGGTATCGAGTTTTCCGTCTTTGCATTCGCGTCCAGTTTCAGGAAAAGCAATCGAGACTCTCTTCCGATACCTGGGACCAAAAGTTTATAATAATTATTAATTATTCAAAGCGATTTAAGTTCATTTCTCCGTTGTCAGAAAAGGTTCTCGTAATTTTAAAGCGTCTTTTTGTAATTATCCTGCAGTCTTATGTTTCTATTAACCCTTTGAACACGGAGCCATTTCGCCGTATGGGCGAAATTCCTCTGACCGTGCAGGCAATATTGGACCAAACGTCGGGCGTCTTTAGGCGCTCTTAGTAGCCAAAGGGTTAAATTAACATTTTTAATTGCTTATGTCATTTCTTATCATTGGTATTACCTGCTGCGATTACTTCCTCGTCAGGTTTCTCTGCCGAGGGCTTATTTGTGTTATCATCTCCCGAGGGAAGAATTATCTCTCCTTTTTCGAATCTCTCCTTGATAGAACGGGCATTTACGGCGCATCCGATTTCTTCTGCCGCATTTGTTTTAGAAATGTTATCATTTCCGGATATAGCTTGTTGGTACATTTCCTTCATCCTGCTTTGCTTCCCCTGAAGGATGAAAATTAAATGAGTGATTAGAAACAGCCCTAGTAGCATAGAATAATTTATAAATATTTCTTTGTAATCTTTGCTAAATATCTCAAGCGACAGATTTTTTAAGATTTCTTGTAGATTTCATTTGACGATATTGTATAAGGAAGGTTTCGACACCCATGGAATTTCGTTTTTTACAACAAATTAAAAAAAATACCTATGAACAGGTGTTTTACAAAAAATTAAAAAAATACCTATGAACATATTTATAAGAAAATTGAAATTTCATGAGTTTCAGGACCTTCCTTATATTCTACATCTTTATATTGTAATGTTTGATACGACACCCAGTTTGTAAAAAAAAAAAGTTTCATAAATGAGACCTCTCTGACTTTCGTATCACCTTAAGAGATAAGATTTCAAATTTTCAATACCAAGAGTAGTCTTGATCGAATCCCTGCGATTTCGTCCTTAGGTGCTTCTCTTTTTAAATCGTGCTTTTGTTGACACGTCGACTCCCAGCGATTTTTAATGTCATCCACGTTTATACAAGTCATACCACTTCCTTTTCCGATGTGATCAGTCTTCAACAACTCGCTATCTAAATCTGCAACAATAATGATCACGTTTGATAAATACTGAACAATAATGATCGCGTTTGATAAATCAGATCGAGCGCAACGTCATCACAAAATGAAAAATTCCTCGAGTTAGTGTAAAACATTCCGTATAAAATGAAAAAAAAAATTCCACAGGATACATTGTTTAAAAAAAAAAAAATAAGAAAAATAGAGATGCATCCTCGGCTAAATATCGAGTTGCTCCAAAAGTTCATAGACAAATTTTATCTCCAGCGAATCTTCTCCAGAGATAATTGCTTGTGCTGTCAATGTTTAATTAAAACCGCCCCGAGAGTACAAGATTTAATTAAAACGTTTTCAATTCGTTGGAAAAAAAAATCTTTTGAAGCTTTAGAAATTTCCCTGAGAACTTATGGAGCCACTCAATAGGTTTAACGTCTTCGTCAGTATATACATGCTGTGTATTATTTCATAAAATGGTTATCAATATTCTGGAAGTCCTTTGGAGAATAAACTGGGAATAAGATTTATCACTGATCATGCAGACGAGTGATTGCTCATCCTACGTACCCTCACTGTCATCGATCTCCTCAGAGTCTCTAAAATCATCCTGAGATAATCCGTATAAAGATTCATTTGCGACTCCGACGTTTGTATCTTTTTCTTGGAATCTACAAGCAATGTCATGTACAGGACGCTTTAAACATCTAGCAACAATCTATTAAATAATTTTGGTCAATTGGGCCGCTGCGAAATTTCCTGGAATTTCTTTCTTTCGCAAGAAACGCAAGACGACGAAAAAGGGGCAAAGAAATGTGATAGTTAATTAGGAAGTGAATTTTTTTTTTGGATATAATTTATTAATCACTCACTTGGCTACTTTGCTGAGGATGCTGGGCGATTTCCTGATCGGCAATGGCGACGCTTGTCTTTTGGCTTCGTTATTCGTTTCCGTGTTGCTCTTCACGAAAACTTGAAACCGAGCTTTGACATTCAGGCCGGAAAGTTCTTTCAAGCCGAGATCCGGCTTCTCGCATGCTGTAAAAATGACGGATTAGATTTCATAATCAATATTGATCACCGGAGGATTAAGTGCTAATTATTCCTGTTTTCGCGGAGGAGCGAAATCCGCTTTCCCTAATTTTTTTCCTTATCGATTTACCTCTTACTGTATCCGGTGGCGGTTCCTTCGGTGCGTTTTCTCTGATTATTAATTCCGGCTTTCGTGGTTTCTCTGAAGTATGAAAAGAGTCCAATTATAATTCATATTTTAATAAATTTATTTGGGTATATCCTGAGCTTCTAAAGAATACCTGAGTCGGTATCTTCCACTGGTTTGGGTAAAAACAACTCCTTAAAATGAATCCTACAGTAGAGTGTGCGTTCATGACTTTGGTAATTATCTACATTGAGCTGCTGATTGCACTGTACACATCGGAAGCATTTTTTATGCCATGCTAGACCCTCTGCACATATTCGCTCCATTTGGAAGACGGTCTCGTTGCACTTGCTGCATCTTCGATTTGCTAGGTTCTTTTCGTTTACCTGAAAGGAAAGATAAATTAAAGAAGAAGAATAACCGCGAGGGATAAAATTCTCGGGAATTTTTCTCACTTTATTTACTGTGTCATTTGTTGTTGCCATTTTGTTCCCCTTCTGTGTGTTTCTTTAAATCTGCAATGGTAAGAATTTATTTCCTCTTAATTGTTTAGTATTTTATGGCAAGTATGAGTAAAGGTGGATTGGAAAAGCAAATAAACGTTTCGATAAAATTGCGGGAAAAATCATGAGACGAGCTGGCGCAGAATAACACGAGCACATCGCATATTACTTTCCCTCCAAAATTAGAATCGCATTATTCGCCTGGCACGTCTGTGGAATTTTATTTTGCAAACCCTGGAATGCTCCTCGTAAACGTATAAATAGTCGAAATTTATAGGCCATGGCCGGGTAAAAGAATTTTGACAATAACGCGCGATCTCGCGATAATGCGAGATCTCTACGAAACATCTGTTGCTCCTTTGTGTTCAATATTATACTTTTCGTTCCTCGTTATAACCCTCCTATTAAAAATAACTATTTAACACCATTTTTAAGTTTCACATTCGCTTTCCCGAAATTCTTTTTGCTGGGATTTGAAATAATGATCGGACAGTAGTGAAAGATTCTGGATTTTATAAAATGGAATTTCATCGGGTACTTTTTTATAACCTGGAGTTGCTGCCATTTTTATACAAACATTCGTGGCCTTTCGGATATTTTCTGGTTTTTAAATAATTACTGAAATTTCTTGAAAATATCAATATTTCGTTGATATGCGAAGAAAGAATATCGAATGTTATTTTAGTTTTGCGTTTTTCGAAAGAGCAGTTTTCTGATGCATCTTCTTGAAAGCTTGTGGCGGCCGCCATTTTGGAGCCAAAATTGGTAGCGGTCCGAATACCTCCAATCTATAATTTATCGCAGTTTAACAATCATACTGACATTTTAGCCTTTGAGAATAGTAAGAGTTAATTTAATTTCTTATTTTTCAAATGTGCAGTCTTATAATAAATCCTCTCAAATGCTTGTGGCAGTCGCCATTTTGGAACCAAAATTGGTAGCGGTCCACATCCCTCCGATCAATTATTTATCGCAGTTTAACAATCGTACCGAGTTTTAGCCTTTGAGAATAGTAAGAGTTAATTTAATTTCTTATTTTTCAAATGTGCAGTCTTATAATAAATCCTCTTAAATGCTTGTGGCAGTCGCCATTTTGGAACCAAAATTGGTAGCGGTCCGAATACCTCAGCGACGCGTCTTCGTCGCGTACCTGGTGTCTCCGAAGGAAGGCGCCCGGATCGACTCGGCGATTCAGGAATTCAGGATGCACGCGCGTGTACACGCACGCATTTCGAGCACACTTTTATCCCCGGGAGAAACGTGCGCAAATGCACCCGGTCAAAAGACGCATTTTTTCCGAGTGGGATTCCGCTGGACGCGCCTGCGAACTGCTCGCGAATTTCGCGCGTCGAATCCCGATGAAAATGCCGAGGCAAGAGAAAACCGTCTCGGAAATTCACGCTCACCTTTAATTCTTCAAACATGTAATAATGTTTAATTGCGTTATAATTAAATCCGTGCCTTGAAGAATTTTTCCCTAGCAGTAATACCTAGACATAATCCCCATAAATCTCGGTAACATGATCCCCTTCGTCGAAAGAAAAACTGACCGGCCTTATAAATCATTCTCTAATTATAAATAATCCCCCGATGATTTTTAACACCCCGTTAAAATATCCAGGAGGTTACATCAAACCTTTAAATCTGAATAATTGCCCCCAGGTTTTTACAAACAATACACACGTATAAAAAAAATAATATACTTGTATTATTTCAAATTCCCAAACCCGTCTCCGGGAATACATACGGATTTTTAGTACCGGGATTTTCCGATCGCAATTCGATATTATATTTAAATAAATAAAGGTTAATGTTGTCGAGGAATTCTGGAGGGTCTAATGAGACAATTAGGGTGTTTAAGGCTTTTTATGTCTTTAAATCCCCTCTCGGGATTTAGGAGCATTTAGGGGGTCATTAGATAATGTCTTTTTGTGCCTGATAAATTAGGGATAATTTTTCCTCGATCGAGGTAATTATTCACGAAGAGCAATTTATGTGTACAGAGGGTGTACTCGTGTGTTTGCGCGTTTCCATTCACTGGTGCACTCGCAAACTCGTTGCACTCGGGGGAAGCCGGGGTTAAAAAATCTGGTTAATACGTTACGTTAAGTGTAATACATACAGAGACGGCATCCGAGACTAATGACATCACTTTTAGCGTTTCCTGCACTTAGATCCACCGAGTTTAATATTCAACGGCTAACTCGGCGTGGTCGCTCTTAGAGCCGACGACTAAGACTACGGAAACATTCCTTGCGTTCGCTCTGAACTTCTATTCTTAGAAAGGTACACTTTCATGAATCAGCGCGCAAGTAGATGCACAATAAATATAAAGTTATACAATCGAAGCGTAAAAAGGGCCGGTAAAACATACCCAGGGAAAACAATTAATAACATTTGCAAGGGTGCGGAGAAAGACCCTGGTCACGGGGTCGGCATTTTTCAATTAACATTCCAAATGATTTTCCCAAAAATTCCTCTGCGTCAAGTTTTTTCAACCTTTATACAACGTGTGAATAAAAGATCGTAAAATTGCACTATAATTTTCCATGTGTTAAGAATCTTCCCTAATCATCATAAGATTTCACTTGAGAAAGAGAATAAAAAGCGCAGAGACGGTGTTAAAAGAGGAAAGGTTAATAAAGAGGAGAAGAGAAAGTATGTTCGGCTTTATTTGCTTGTATATTATATAGAAATGTTATTACAATACAACGTAGTCCGATATCGGCGATCACTCGTTTCCGCCATTTTGGATTTATTCTCGGTCTCACCCTCATTAAATCTGTCCCTCAATTAGCTTTCGAGAAGCTTATTTTCGGAAGGATTCTAGGAAGTAAATGTTCCACTTTTCTCTCTCCTCGATAATTTTCATGAACTTTCCTGGAAGCTTCCCAGAAACTCGGAATGCGTAGCCGGGATTTTCGAGGGGTCCGATCATCGTTCGCGTCGAGCGCCGCCATTTTTTCCTTCCTTCGAGATTGATAAGTGTCCTCTATTTTCTTTTTTTTCTTGAAAACATTCAATGAAAATCTGATTTCCAGGTCGCCCGTGTTTTTCCAACGGGGATGGTGTAAACTTCCGCGGCAAGATTTCCGGAAAAGTTTCCCCGGGTTTAGAAATCTGGGACATGGGGGCTAAAAATGTAGAGCAGTCTCCGATGCACTTTGTCAGATGGCGCTGACGGCATCTCGAGTTCCGGGGGAGCTCGCTCGGCCGTATGGGACGCTGCTATAATTAACCTCTGGATGGTTTAATTCGGACGGTATAACCGTGTCACATAATATCGTTTCGTAAGACGATATTTGGACCTTATAGCCGATAGTGCGTCCCGAATTCCGGCCTCTCGGGCTCGAAATTAGACCCGATGGAAGCGCCCTCTTCCCACGCGGTGGGAAACCGAACGAGACTTCCAAATGAACCCTCAAGACTTAAAAAGTATTTTAAGGGACACCAATTATAGCGCTTTCCAATACGTTGGATCGGTTTACATTTTTCATCTCGTAAGAAATATTCCAGGAGCATTAAGATCACATGAAAGGGTCATTTCGTACACGTAAGAACGTCAATAATATACATAAAACTTTTCTCCCAAACAATGCACCGAACAATTTGAAACTTTAACACGTGACCATGGAAGTCCTAATGAAGGTCCTGAAACTCCTGAAATTTAATTTCTCGAAAGAGAAAACATGAACGAAACATTTTTTGCCGATGATTTGATTCTAAAATCGAACGCGGCATTTTTAAGTGATATAACGGTCAATGTCGATCGTTTATGTTTCTTCAGGTGGGAATTGCATCTCGCTGGATATCTCTGCCTTTTTGGACGCCGTCCCAAGGATATGTGATTTTCTTCTCGTATATCCACGCAGGCGTGAAACGGATTTCCAAAATAGATTTCCGAAAGCCGAGGGGGGATGAGATTCATAAGCTTGCGCAAGCTTGGGTGTTACGGTTTCCTAGAAATTCCTGAGCGGCGTTGCCATGACGACGAGGGACGCTACTTTCGTCGCCATGTTTACGTGTTGTTACAGACGGATGCAATAAGATTTTCAGATATACAAAATCCAAAGAGTTCTCGGTGAGCATCTTGAAATTCTATATTAAATAATACCTCGCACATTATTCCTTAATTGCTCAATTATTATTCAGGAGTACCAGGTGTGCGGTGTATAAATAATCAAGATGGATCCGACAGAAACAAAAAAGGTGCGTTAGGGTTCTAAATGATGAATAAGATTGTTCTTCGAGATTTTACTAACATTTTATCTTGATCTTTAAATCCACCCTGTTGATTACTAAACCCGAAACGCGATTGGCTGTGAAATTTCGGACGTGAAACATTGTCTTTATTTTTCTTAAGCTCTTGTCTCATTTCCTTAAATTCAATCCCGGAGTTCTTTTAGAAAGACTTGTCAATGACTTTTCAATACTCTACCAGAGAACGTATTAACGACACATTTTTATGATAAACAATGGTAACCAGAACGGAGGAAGTGAAATTTGAAGAGACAGCAGGCCGGAATGAAAGCGTAATTTTCAGTATAATTGTTAAATGAAATATTAACCTATGTATGCAATATTATTTAAAGCGTGTAGAAAACTGTAGAAGCATTGCCGAAGGAATTTATTGTGTTCGAAGATTATGCATTTCATTGACAGAAAGGGCGGATGGTAAATAATCATTTTTGTTAAGATGTGTAATTTGTTAAGTAACAATTTCAGGATGATGGCAGCGAAGGCAGCCAATCTCGCTCACAGAGAAGCTCGGCTGACAGTACGTTTCAAACATTGGAGCATGATTTTGCAAAGGTAAAGCACACTGTAGGAAATACAAAAATTAATATTTAAACATTCAAAATGAATATCCACTCGTGACATTGAAATATTTCACAGATTTCCGAGGAGATGAAAAACAATGAGCTGCTCGCGCCATTCGAGGCGGAGTATACAAGACTGTATGAACTTCTCTACAAAACTCACGGCAATGAGAAAGATTTAACAAATAGGTGTAAAGAATTGGAGGTATATTCCACGTATATTAGAATAACATTATAGGAATAAAAATATTCATTTGCCGGTATCATTTTAAGGAAGACGTTGAGGAGCGCAAGAGAAAGATAAGAACCCTCGAAGAAATAAACCAAAGGAACCTCGTAACGAACGATAAATTAAAACAGGAAATCATTAACATGACTAAACGAGCCGATGCTGCTCATACTCGAGAACAAGCTGCTCAAGAAGTGATAGAAAATTTGCGAGTGTCCGTTGCGAAGCTGAACAGCGAATTGGAGCAGAAGAACAAGCAGATGAGAATGTTCGAGGAGTGAGTTAAATGTCATCCCCCGAGAGGAAGAAAAAGTGTTAATGACAAATATCTATAAAAATAACATATAATCATTTCGAAGGGTTACGGATAAATATCCGTAATGTTTCCGCTAGCTGTACGCGTAAGAAAGTGAAATTAACAGGATCACTCCCTTAGCCCTTTGAACACGGAGGCATTTCGACATACGGGCGAAATTCCTCTGACCGGGCACGCAATATTGGACCAAACGTCGGGCGCCATTACGCGCTCTTAGTAGGCAAAGGGTTAATAGGACAGTTTTTAATTGTATCCTGAAGAATAATTTCTAACGGATAGGCTTTTTTATACATTTTAACGGATAGGCAACTTTAAGGCTGGTGTATATCTCCGTTGGATTTCCAGCAATCCCGTCAATAAGCAACGAGATGGCATGGCCAATGAACGGGAGAAACTTAACGGGGAATTGGAGACCATTAAACAACGGATGAAGAATATGCAGACCTATAACGAAGAGCTGGAAAAAGCGGCCCGAGGTGCGGAACGACAAATAAACGAATTGCAGGAAATCATTGACGCGCATTTAAACACCATATCGAAGGAGCAAAGAGGGCGAGAAAACGCAGAAAAAGAGATTTCACAGCTGCAGGAAACGATTAAGATGAAGAATAACGAGCTACAAGTATTCCCTCGCTGCCTAGTTTTTAATATTATTACTATTTATTACTTACATTTGATACGTTTAATACAATTAATACCTTAAGAAATAAAAAAAAGATGTGAAGTTAACTGCAATTTATTATCACAGGTGGCGAACAGCTCGATAAGAACTTCGGTAAACAATGTCCTGAAGTTGGAGAACATCCTGAAGGAGCAGAAGGCGAACAATGGGAAGATGCAGAAGGAGATGAACAAGCTGATGCTGAGAGTGATGAATCTACAGACGGATTTTGATAAGGCGAAGATCCGTATCGCGGATTTGGAGAAGGAAAAGAGCGAGATGAGCAAAGAGTGCAAATTACTCGCGAACGAGGCTCAAAGGTAATTCTTTAATTTGTTTTTTTTTTCCGAAATGCTTTTTCGAAATTTAAGGCGGCATCTGAGGGGTCTTGTTTATGAAACGTTCCTCCGAATTGGATGTACCGAATTGTCTCAAACTTTACAACGTGAATATGCTATAAGTACGGTCCCGCCACCAATGAATTTTAATTTTTGTAAAATTTGTTTATAAGTATTTAATAAAAAATCAAATTTCACAAGTGTCAGGACCTTCTTTATAGTCTCTGTAATTACGCTGTGAAGTTTGAAACGATTCGGTACACCCAGTTCAGAGGAGAACTTTCATAAACTATTCGGATGCCACTTTCATGCCGCCTTAATACTCCATATGTTAATTAGTTTATTTAATTTGATTAAAATCTTAAGTACCGTCAAAACGCAGGTTGAAGGACGGCATTCAGAAGTTTAAGGCGGAAAAGGATTCCGTGCTGAAGAGGCTCTCGAGCGAGGAAAAAATTCGCCTGAAATTGGAGGAACAATTGACCCAAGCGAGATTGGACGCCGAAAACGCGGAAAGGGAAATCGGAATAATAAGTAAGCGTCTCGAGGTAGAGAAGAAGATTACGGAGGGCCTGCAACTAGAAAAGGAGCAAACGGCGAAAGAAGCCTCGCTAATGCACGAAACGCAGAAAAGACTTAACGTGGAATTGGCGGTGTCCGAGCAAGGTAGAAGAAAAGTCGAATCTGATTTGCATGACGCGATGCGAGTCACTGGAGTGATTAGAAATAATGTCCACGTCCTGGAAAAAGAGAGGGACAAGGCTAAATTGGAGATCCTCGACTTGACGCAGCAGGTATTCTATTCCTACTTGTAATTCTTCTTATTTTGTCTTATTTAAGGGGATGTGAAAGTGGCATCCGAAAGCTCAATCGTTCATAAAACTTTTCTACGGACTGGGTGTCTCAAATAGTTTCATACTTTAAAACGTGAATATGAAGACCCTAAGGTAGGTCCTAAAACTCGGGAAATTTCATTTTTTATAAAGTATTTTTAAAATACCTAGAAATTTGAAAAGAATTTAAATTTCATGAGTTTCAGGACCTTCCTTATACTCTCCCTATTCACGTTGCAAAGTTTCAAACTATTCGGTAAACCGAGTTGGGAGAAAAGTTTTATAAACGAAACCTCTTCGACGCCACTTTCACATCACCTTAATTCCTAATCTTTCATATTCTTCAATTGATCGAATAATTGGAGATAATTTACAAGGGAACGGAATTTTCGGATCTGATCGAGATGCCTCTGAAATAGGTGGAAGAGTGCATGTACACATTGGAGTTGAAACGAAAGGAGATATCTGACTATAAAAAGCGCTTGATCGAGGCTGATGCTAAATACAAACAGCAACAAAATACTTTTGAAGCCATTCGAGCGGACAGAAATTCCTGCAGTAAAAAGCTGACGGAAGCGGAAGAGGAGGTCCAAGAATTGAGAAGCCAGCAGAAGATCATGAGGCATCAGATAGAACAGCTTAAGGACGACATTGCGAACAGGGATGAGAAATTTTCCAAAAATGAGTTCTGTAAGCAAATTGGCCTTTTTAAGGTGATGTGAAAGTGAGGGGTCCCGCTTATTAATTATTCTATCTAAACTAGGTGTACTGTTTATCGATTTACCACGTGGAAATGGAGGTCCTAAGGACGCCCTTGAAATTCCATCGTTCGTATGTTTATTATTCCTGAATCTTTTAATAAGAAAAAATGGAATTTCAAAAGTGTCCGGACCTTCCTTAGGCCATTCACATACACGTGTTAAATTTTCAAACGATTCGATGCACCCATTTCGGAGAAAAGTTTCATAAAGGAGACCTTAAGATGGTATTAAGGTGGTATCCGAGGAGTGAATCATTAATGAAACGTTTCTCTGAACAGGATACCCTCTCATATATAATTTTCGTATCGCCTTAAATGATTTCTACAAATAGAACTAAGTTATTTGATAAATTAGAGAAATTAAGGTCTTCGACGACTGTATTGTTATAATTTTCTATACGCAGTACTGAAGAAAGCGGAGAAAGAGATGGAGGCGTCGAAAGTGGAGCTCCAGGCAGTTCGGAAAGAGATTTCGGAGTTACACCAGGAAATCGAGAAGATGAAGCAAAAGGAGAAGCAACTAAGACACGCGATTAATTCCGCCGATGTTGAAATCAGTCGACAGAAGAAAGACATCGACACCGTGATGAGCGAGCGGGACATTCTGGGCACGCAACTCGTCAGAAGGAACGACGAGTTGACCCTACAATACAGTAAAATAAAAATATTAAACGGAACGATCCAACGAGGAGAGACGCAGTATAATCAAAGGATCGAAGACATCAGATTGTTAAGGTGGTATGAAAGTGGCGTCCGAGAAGTCACATTAGTTAAATTTCTTCCCGGCAGGGTGTACCGAATCGTTTTACATTTTACCGCATGAACATAGACGCCTTAAGGAAGATCCTGCCACTAATAAAATTTACAAAGATTTTCCTGGTTTATCTTAACAAGAGAAATTAAATCCCATGGATATCCGGACCATCCTTAGAGCATTCACTTTCCTTTGGGAAAGTCTTCTAACGATTCGGTACACCCTAGTGAAACTCTCTTATCACTTTAAGGCTGGAGGTGAAGAGGCTACGAGACGAGAACAATTTACTGACTAAAAGCATTAACAACACCTGCGACCTCCGCCAAGAGATATTTCACCTTAACAAAGACTTAACAAAAGAGAGGCTGAACGTTATCGCCTTGGAGGAAGAGATGCAGAACCCTTTGAACATCCACAGGTGGAGGAGGCTGGAGGTACCGCATCATTCGATTGTTATTCGGTCCTTCCACTTCTAATCAGCTGTCTCTCGGTGTACTCTTCTTTAACAGTACATTGTCTGCTCTCCCAAGGCATAAAGTGTTCCATCAATCCCCGGTATTGTTCATGAAGTCCAAATGCCGAATCCATTCTGCGTATTTCAGGGATGCGATCGCAGCACGTACGAGCTGATGAAGAAGGTGCAGATGTTGCAGAAGCGCGTCCTGAGGATGAGCTCCGAGCTCCTGGAGAAAGAAAACAAGATCAAGGAGACAGAGACTATATACATGAACCTTCGAGAAATTTTGTCGAGGAGGCCTGGCCCGGAACTCGCGATTGCCTTGGAAAGAACCCGGATGGCTCTCCGAGAACGCGGAAGAAAGATGAAGGTATAAGTTTGATTTTTAAATTAATTCTTCATAACAACACTAGTCGTACCTTTACAGAGTCTCATATCTGAACTGATAATAACCGAGTCGCAGGCAAATGCCGAGAAATGTAACGTTAAACGAGGAAAAACAAGCAGCGCGTGAAGAGTCCAGTTAGTCCATTCTGCCAGAAAATTTATAAAAAAGGTATTGTGCAATATTGTAAATCGAATATATTTAATAATGTTCAACTCGGTTGCAGCTTTCTCGCTTTCCTCTTCCTAAATTTACGACCAACGATAACTAGGATCAGAAGTGACCACCGCCGAAGTCGTTTAAATGAATCACGTTTTTTATACAAAAAAATAATTTGTACTGTACGTCTAGATACAATATGGTCTTAAATTCTATAGTACGAATAGCGTATAGTAAATGTACATACACTAAACGATTCGAAAGAAAAAGAAAGGAGAAACGGTTCCTTCTTCCGAATTAGGCGGATATCACTAGTTCTAACATTTTTGTTGCGGTGAAACTGTTAAGCAAAAGTCACTGTACGCATTGAGCTTGCTAGAACAAAGAACTCGTAAATAGCAAACGAAATATCGAAGCATAAGAAACATTTCTTAAAGACATATTGTTATACATTTGTAAGTTAAGATCTAATCTCCTTGGGAGCAGTTCGAGAAAAAAACGAAACTGTACAGATTGTTCGTAACGTCAGGCATAAAATAGTTATTCCCGCCTTTGGGAGATAATTTATCCCATTCTTATCTTATCGATACAAAGAGAAGGGGACTTATGTGCACTCATTACTATTTGAATATTTTTCTTAACGAAGGTCTAGGGATTCTTTTCTATATCTTACTGCATCGATGTGCATAAAACCTCGAGGCTTGCACTAGTAAATTGATAACTCACAACGAAGTACCTGCTAAACATTTCTCGTTATCGTTTAGAAAATTCCGGAACCTTAACACAGTTCTCCAGTAATGGTAACACGTTCCTTGCCGCGTAATTAGTTAACTGCAGCAAGAATATTAATCAATAGTTTAATTATTCAGAAGTTAGCAGACTTGCTCTGGTTCGTTCTGCGAGTCAATCATGGGAAATATTTGCGTGATTTTCCCGATGCCTTTTGTGCGGCCCTCTCTAAACAATAGGTGCATCCCAACATGGAGATACTCTGGATGACTAACGAATCTGAATAAAACAGATGCTCTGTCATTCGTTTGCAGTCCAGTCTCTTTCAGATCCATAATTCCTTCGATAACACAAGTTTGCCTTACGTTACCAACATGGATCGTTGCCTGAAATCCTGGATATATCGAAGTGGTGTGATAAACTATCAGGACGGTAGCCTAAAACCAGAGGAGCATTTTTACTTGCTAATTTTTTCCTCCGATACACTTTTATTAATTTTTCATTTAAAGCAGAATAATTAATTAGTTAACTCTGAATTAGATTTACCTGAAAGAAGAGAGTGGCGTGGGGGTGTTCACGTAAAGAGACCAGCACCATTCCGGGTCTTAAGTGTGGCAGAGGTGGGTCTCGATTCGTAGAAGGTGCTAAAGTTAAGCTGGCACTTTGTGACGCTCGTACGAGACAACAAGGTGCTTTATTGCGATGTAAACTAACTACTTTTACAGGTCTAAATTCACCATTTGGTAAAGGACCCACTAGCAGTCGTGCTCCGGGTGCAATTGCACCCTTTACTAACAAACCGCCCAATACTGGCTCGGTCAGCCCTGCTACCCTGTATAAATAAATTGAAATAACTTGTCTCTTTGTATAGACATTGAGTGTATAGAGTCGTAATAATTCTATTAACGAAAACATAATTTGTACCTGAAGGTCTCATCGATTTGGAAAAGACAAGACTCCGGGTCAGAATCTGCAGGGGTATTCTGTGTAGGGGGCAAGTCTCTGATAAATTTAGTTAATACCTCCAAGCCCTCTCCGGTGACACAACTGACAGTGAATACCGGAATTACATCCATTTCACAACTTTCCGGCACATCATTATTGTTGTTACACAGAACTAGTTGTTTGGAACAACCTTGAGTACGCAGAGAGGCTTCTAATTGCATTAACAGCTCACGAGTGTCGCAGAAGCCGAGATCAATTTTTGTTAATACAACGAAAAATGGAAGGCGTAGAACTAAGCACAGTGCTAAATGTTCTTGTGCTGCCTCGTTTAAGGGGGGTGCTATCACAAGCATAACATGATGTGGAGAATAACCTAAAACACAGTCATTAGAGAACAGTGATACGGCTTTGTATTTGAAAATATGTATTTACCAGTAAGTCCTAGTAACGTCGTTCTCAGGTACTTTCGGTGACCAGCCAAATCAATGAATGTAACAACTTTTGACGAATGCTCGCATATCTCTTCAGCCGTTGTCATTTCTCCATAATTTAAGACGTTCCCCTCGCTATCGAATCCAATGATCTCATGCGATATCGAGGAAGTCCGTCCACTCCTGATTTCATGAAGGTGGCGAAACATGTTCAGCCTGGCTCTTCCTCTGCCATTGTCCAATTCTCCTTGTGTTAATACACCTAGAATTGAGTAAAATAATTTTGTTAAGAGAGGAGCTATAAATTTAATTTAAGTTAAGTAGCGCAGAGAGAGATGGCTTAGGTAGGTATTTAATTACCTAAGAGGGTAGATTTTCCAGCATCTTGCCCACCAGTGACGGCCAGTCTCAATTCTACCATGCTATCTTGATCTACTCTGTCATATTTCCTAAGTTTCTTCACTAAGACTTCCGCTACTTTCCTGTCCTCCAGGTCGAGCTTTTTAATCTTGCTATTTTTGTGTTTACGACTAGCGATTCTCTCTCGGAGAATGCTCGTCGTGGCTCCGAGTCTGGTTGCCATGTCAGTCAGTGTCTTCAAGGATGCTTTCATCTCATCCTTGGACAAGCCTATCAGTCTCCCGTTATCCTCGACACCTAAAACCATTAGAACAACCAAACTCAAATAACGTATGAATTTATTTAATGTCAGGAATCTTTAAAATCATACCAATTTGATAAATAGCCTCGCCATGACCCTCTTGAAGCCGCCATTTCATTTGAGTCACAAGATGCTCAAATCTTTGACTAGACGGATTAATCAACTTTAACTTATATTCTATATTTCCCTGTTCTGGTTCCGGGGGCAGTCTCACTTCGTTTTCTACATTGCTACCTTCACGGTCCTCGTCGGCTCCAGAATTTTCACAGTCAAACGATCCATTTTTCTCCCCTTCAAAGTCCTTCCATTTGCTCCGAGATTGTTTCTTTTCCCCAGGGTCGAATAATCCCAGTAACGACTCCATGTTCCTACTGAAAAATGAGAAACATTTTTTCATTTATTTAAGGTTAATTTATAAATCGGGGGCAACATTCAATTTTAATATACTCAAATAAAACATGATTAATGTAAATAGAAAAAAATATAAGCTGTTAGTAAAAGCATTGATAGCTCAGTGGTTGATAGATCAGCTAAAGAAGTAGCTATGGAGAAGCACTGTTGCCGGTTCAAATCCACTTGGGGTACATAGATATTTTTTATATGCTGAAATTTTAATAATACACATTAAAACTTGTACTAATCCTTCTATAATACAAACTTGCAATTTTAGTTTGTTACTAAAAAAAAAAAAGGCATTGTTGTATCAAATTAGCTCGAGCGTAAAGGTGCGTGGATGTGTAAAGTCAACGGAATTAATGCAAGATTGCTTTACTTATGAATTTCAAATTGTTAATGTGAACTTGTGATTGAATTCTGTTAAATGAAATATTGCCGATTACTTAAGAACGGTTTTTGGCACAAACGATAACTTTCTATTCCGTTCGCAGGGCAAGTAGCCAGCAATTTGGTAATGATCATACATCATAACACATGTTTGATCCGACATATGTGATCGATCTTAACACCGATATGCAAATTATTGAATCGCAAGGTATATTTTACAGATATATATATGTATGGATAACAATATTTTCACAGTATGTAAACGGTAATTGTGTAAGAAAAAATAACATGTACACAATTCGCGAAAAGATTTCGACGACCTTTCCCTAAATAATCGACATTGTAACCTTTCGTCAACCTTCGGGATGACGTACAATTTTGAAAGCGATGTTGACATGACGCAAAGTGACAGCTGAAAGACAACACGAGAAATATGGCTAGGCAAACGCAGGAATTTTCGGGGAATTTTAAGTGTAGAAAGATCGCACCACTTAGAGGAGATTCGAATCGTGCATCAGAGTCGCACCTTGGGTTGAAAATCAGGAGTTGGCGTAATAAAATTATCCTAGCGGTGGAAAACTGTCAACTTCAACCGATGTCCCCGACCAGACACTCAGCCATAACGTTGGCTGTCATTGGAGAGTCTGGCACAACCTGGCGAAATTTGCTACAGGCCACTGCTAAAGTGATGCAATACTAGGAAGTGTGGCCGCCATAGAAAAAGCGATGCACCTAGAACCACGCTTGAAAAATTTCGCGCCGTCAATCCGACTATCCTCGACGCTCATTGGCTCCCGCCAATTTTTGATGGTTGTCATTGGTTACCACCAAAACCTGTGGACCAATCACGACGCCGCATTCGAAGATGACACGCTGTAATTGGTGGAGAGTTTCCGGGGCCCAAATGGCGGCTTCAAATGACTTTATGAACATATCTAGAATTACACAATAAAGAGGAGGTCCGCCATTTGACGGGCCGCGAGACGTCGTCACAGAGATGAATTTGAAATTAATTATTATTAAAGAAAGTTGAAATTATCACCATTTGATAGGACATGCTGGTTTTACTTATCAGTTTTTCGGGATTTTCATGTAAATCATTCCTTTCTATTTTAACGATAGTGGATTGATGGTCAGGGACACTGTACACAATTGTAAGATTGAAATCAAAGGTATTACACACATATACTGTTTTACGATGTATAATTTATTATTTTACAGTTTGAATATATTACAGCACTGGTCTATGGTACAACAGGTGGCCTAGTTTTTTTTTCTTTTTAAAGCATTTTTCATGACAATGATTTAAATAAGTCATCTCGGGTGACACTTGAAACGCGATTCTTAGATGCTTATTGCGATGGACAATATGTGGAATCAGATAAATTATATATCTAATTCTTATGGCTCAGTAATGACATGCATTCTAGCCATAAAACATTAGTTACCATCTTCGAGATCAAACTAAATAAAAATTACAATGAATGTCCATACCATGTTTCATGGTGAATGCATGGGAACACTGAGAGAAACACTCTACGTTACATGAATCCTTTACGGAATAGTGAGAAACGATGTTTGTCTTAGCGGAGGCAACTAATTACAGCAGCAGTAAATTCCGTTGTTGAGCTTTGTCCGCCCAGATCCTTCGTGCGGACTTTTCCGTCATTCAGAACACGATTTAGTGCATCCCTGATCCGTTCAGCATATTTACCAAGGTTTACATGATTTAAAAGCTTCACTCCACACAGTAGCATGGCGGTTGGGTTTGCTACGTTCTTGCCTACAGCCTCTGAGTAGGTATGTCTCGCACCCTGTTTATAGGAAAAAAAAAAAGTTATATTTTGTAATTATAGTAGACAGTTTTTTTAACGATATAACATCTCACAGGTTCAAACACGACACATTCAGGGCTGTAACTGGCACCAGCAACTACTCCGGCTCCACCCACCAATCCCGACGCAAGATTATCGACGATGTTACCATATAAATTAGGTAGAACCATCACGTCAAATTGATGAGGATTTGATACCATTTGCATTGTACAGTTATCCACTATCATGGTTTCAAATTGAATTCTGCTCTTCAAAATAAAGGTCACAACATTAGAGTCTAACAGGGAGAATGAAACGGTTTTTTGTTTCTTACCTAGGATAGAGTTTGGCGATTTCTTGGCAAGATCTGAGAAACAGACCGTCTCCAAGTTTCATGATATTTGCTTTATGAACGCAAGTAACCTTCTTACGTTTGTTCTTCACTGCATAATCGAAGGCAAATTTTGCGATCCTCTGACTTTTTACCGCTGTCACAATCTTCAGGCACTCGATGACGCCTTTCACAGATTCATGCTCCAAAGCAGAATATTCACCTTCAGTCTGTTCTCGAATGATTATACAATCGACATTTTGATGTCGAGATTTGATACCAGGCAACGATTTTACATGAACCACGTTAGAGTATAAATCTAAACTCCGGCGCAGTTTCATGTTCAGGGTTTGTAGTTCACCAGTATGGGAATGATCAGGGGTGGCCAATATTCCCTGTAATAATTATACTATTTTAAGGTCATTTTACTTTGATAATTGGAAAATTAAACTACGTTTAAATATCTTTGATTCAGTAAATACGGCTACTCTGCGATTTCTGCTCAATACATATTGAGTACACATACTTTTAAAAAGTGAAATTAAATCATTTGTTCACCTTTCCAAAGTTTTAAAGTAAAACGAGCTTTTAGTGGAATTTATTTCAAAAGATACTTTATGGTAATACGATCGATGGGAACAATGTTTATATACCTTCAAGCACACTTGGTTTCTAGCGATGCTATTAGAGACCTGCTCTAACGGAGCACTCAATGTTGGATTGACTTCGGAGAGAAAATAAGGCTCAAATTCAACCGGGACATTGGCAGCTTTGAATACATTCGTTACCGAGACCACGAGTTCTGGCCCTACGCCATCTCCAGGGATTAAGGTACATTTTATTTTCTCTGACTGCTCTACCTCCTAAAAAATCCATCTCGATAAGAAACATCCCTATTACCACATCTTACAATTTCTTACCGCATCTTGTTGCCGAACTATGCTAGCATGAAGAGCCCTAACGACTGTTCCCTTTTGCGAAGCCTGAAAATGAAACAAAGATCACTGTACCTTATCAGTCACTGAATTCGATCTTCATATACGAGTATCGTTTCACCTTGACTTTTTAATTAAATTAGTATTGATTCAATGTTATGGCTTCTTTAACACCTTAACTTAAAGCGGGACAATTACATTCTCAATTGCTTTGAGTAATCAGTCGAGTTAAAAAGAATCACTTCAAGGTGGAAAGAAATTATATAAAATAACATCAGCTGATAAGATCGCAACTTGTGCTCCACATTTGTGCAACTTATTATCAGTAACTCGCAACTGCTGTTTGGGAGAACGCATAAGGATTACCTTTTAATTACACCTTATAATTTCACGATAACTCTAAAACACAAATCAGAGCTCCGAGTGTTTGAAAATGGTTTATTTATATCTTCGTTACTTTAACTTTGTCCAACGTCCTTGCGAAAATGCGCTACCTCGACGTTCGAGATTATGAGGACCTCATTTTTAAAAACTAAACGCGACTACTTTAATTCACAATCTTTCTCTGCGGATAAGAGGATATTTTCCAAATCGCTCCTTCTTGTTATCATGAGCTTTTCAGTTACCTGGGAAAGTATTTTGTGGACGTTCCTCACTAGCAAAGCCATTTTCCACGATGGACTCCGAGCAGTGACGTACCTGTACCTAACCTAACTTATCGTCCACATTTTCGACCGTCTCATAACAAGTTCAAACATAAACCCATTGCGAAAGTATTGCCTATAAACATTTCTATCGATTTTCTGTCATTTTCATAGAATTACAGAAAAAATGTCGAATTTCAAACTGTCGTGAAAAGGGAAAGGATTTTCATTTTCGTTGGACGGCCCTGCATAATTCGGATGCGCAGTGAGCGTTCGCGCAACTGTTAAGCTATGTCGACACATTGTAAAGTAAGATTTAAAATAAAGGCTGATTTAATTCTTGCAGAGAAAGTTACTCTTTCGCATACATTCCGACACCATCAAGGAGTTCATTTAAGAAATTCCTTTAATTACTAGACATATTCGTGTACCCTGATGAGTATAAAGCTACCCTTCATTGCAGAATAAAACACAGCAAATTAAACCACATTTAAACGAGCGCCATTTTTCCTAGAGAATATTGAATGTTGGCTTCTCTGATCCATGAAAAGCAAACACAAGAAAGGAGTTCAAGAAATGTAACATGAAGGTGGAGTTCCACTTTATATTCGAGAGCATCATACGGCCAGAGAATTTTTAATAATGTAAATATTCTGATCTAAAAATTGTACATCTTGTGTATTATATAGCCATCGGAGGATTTTTGGGATGCGAGTGAGGATAATTTAACATAACTTGACAGCATTTTGTGGAACCATCGTTATAAGAGCAGCATTAGCTGACTTCCGTCTGTTCCCTCCTATTGGTTACTTGAAATATTTTAAAGTTGGCGCCGTGAGCTGGGTTATCCCTAGCAATTCTAGTAACAAGTCTAGTGGGATTAGAGGAAAACAACATGGCGGTCACCCTGTCTTATAAGTGCATGTGCAGTGGAGCCGTTAACTGTTTCGACTTCTAAAGACGAAACTGGATTCGTGATATCCATGATATCGTTCGCTGTTCTTTAAACCTAACTCCGTTTAGTTCGTCGCACAATGGCCGAGACAAACGGTGCAACGAATGCTAATGTCAAGAATGGAAACTTTATCTGCGGTGTGGTGGAAGGTACTTTTATGGGAGAATACATTTCCTATCCATTCTTTCTGCTATTGTCAGCGTATATGTGTTAATAATAAGAGAGAGATTTGTCCGAAAAAATCTGTCACTGGTATGATTATCTATTAAACTGCGATAAGTTGCCAACCGGCTGGCATTGTTCACATAATTACATTGTTATTTATTTTAGGTGATATCATTTTGTTGCTTTTCATCTAATCCAACACTTGCGTTTCAGGATTTTATGGTCGTCCTTGGACCACCGAGCAACGAAAGGATTTATTTCAGAAGTGAGTATGCTTTCCGAGTCTGTCGTGGCTTTCGGTAAACTGGTATATCAAGTGTGGATTATTTTCATTCTATAATCCACATGATAGGATCTAAGTTGTTTAAAACTCTCATTAATTGATGATTATCTTAAAGCGTAGAAAGTATTTTTATGCTTTCAAAATGTTATAACGATTTGAGCTTCTTGGAAATGAAGTAAATGTATTGAAATTGGATTCTTAAATTTGTGCAATGGGTGATACTTTCGTCACATCTTTTTTTTTTTTAATACAAGTTCTAGTACGTATCTAAAGTATACGCATTCTTAGGTTAAAGAAATGGGGAATGGATTCGTATCTGTATGCTCCGAAAGATGATTACAAGCACCGTGCGTACTGGCGAGACTTGTACACTGTAGAAGAAGCCGAACATTTAACAGGTTTAATAACGGCTGCACGTGAATGCGGTATTACCTTTTACTATGCTTTGTCTCCTGGCTTGGATATTACATATTCGAGTGCAAAGGAGGTGACAGCATTGAAAAGGAAATTAGAGCAAGTAAATCAGTTCGGATGCACAGCATTCGCTCTGCTTTTTGACGACATTGAACCTGAAATGAGTGAAGCGGACAAAGAAGTCTTTCAGTCTTTTGCACACGCACAGGTACACTTCTGAAGAGATTGGCTATAAATTATAACATAAATTTCTCTGCAAAGGTTAATTAATTTCTAATGATTTAGGTCTCTGTGACAAATGATATTTTTCAACACCTCGGGCAACCACACTTTCTTTTATGTCCCACACAATACTGCGCTACTCGTGCGATGCCTAACGTGTCAACGTCGGAATATCTGAATACATTAGGTAGTAAATTGGCACAAGAAATAGACATAATGTGGACTGGGCCAAAGGTCATATCTCGCCTATTAACTATGGAGTCCATAGAAGAAATTACGGAAGTATTAAGAAGACCTCCTGTTATTTGGGATAACTTGCATGCTAATGACTACGATCAAAAGCGTGTCTTCCTTGGGCCTTACTCTGGGAGATCTCCCGATCTTATTCCCAAGCTCAGAGGGGTTTTAACGAATCCCAACTGCGAGTACGGGGCCAACTTTGTCGCTATACATACTCTAGCTCAATGGAGCAGGTGTAATGTCGACGGAAAACGAGACTTAAGCTTAAGTAAGTATTAATTCTTTGATTTGTCATTTCAAGAAACAACTATAATATTTAACGACAATAAATCATTCAGTAAACTGATTTGATATCAATCCCTTTTGGCTTTCCAGATGACACAGTATCGGCGGATATTAAACTAGAAACAGAGACAGAAGATGGTGTCATTGGAGAAGACGTTCCTTCCACACTCTCGCCCAACATGTACCATCCTCGACATGCCTTGAAAAATGCAATTAACGATTGGTTAGCTGAATTCAGCAAGAAACGAGCTGCGTGGGGTGTTATTGCAAAACCACAGCCATGTGTGGCACCTACGATTCCTATTCCTATAATCCCTTCCGTCAACACGTGCATGAGCCTAACCTCAACAACGACTACTACAGTTCCTGCCACACCAGCCCCCACAACTAATTCAAATCATCTTCAAGCATTGGCTGAAGTTTGTTCAACTGTGACCTGTAGCGAGAATTTTCCGCAGCCTCCAGCTGGTCCTGTTATGAATTCGTTGGTGTCTGAAACAAAAGTGATAAGTGAACCCATAGTATCGACGGTGGTTTTAACAAATGAACCATCCATGCAGCCTCCACCTTCAACTGAACCTATGGACTGTAACGTAACCCCTGGAAGTTCACCAGCTCATTTTGCATCAAAAGCCTCGACAGATGATGATGCCATGGTAGAAATTACTTCTGTTAGTTATTAAAATAATTTAAGAACTCTTACGTTTAGATTTGTATTTTTTTTATATACACTGATACACTGATAGTAAATTTTACTTTCTTCGACAGACATGCAGCGGAGCTTCTGGAAGTATGCAAGTAGAACTGGATGGATCTTCACCTACAACGAATGGAATGCAGATGATTGTTGAAAATGAGAACCATGAGAACCATAATAAATCGGACGTGGACGTGTTAGATCCTAAAGAGGAAGATAAACAACTCACTCACGAAGACCTATCGTTATTGTGTGACTTATTTTATTTGCCATTCGAGCACGGTGGTCAGGGAATACAGTTGCTACAGGAATTTAACTGGCTGAAAAGTAACGCACATGTCGTCATTAATAAGTTGAAAGAAGAAGATGAATCTGCATCAAAGGCTGACGTAAGTAACGAGAAGCTGCAACTTTAGACAGTAGTTTATTTTCTGAAATATCTTTTTATTTGAATTGTTATCGATTGAAATCAGGTCCAGGTTATAACTTATTATGCAGTTGTTAAAATTGCAGACCGAAGAATGGCACGCACGAGCTGCTAAAATGAACGAGATGTGCAACGCTGTAAACAGACTGTTTCAACGACTTACTTACTGTAACAATCGAGAATTGCTGTATGATCTGTACTCGTACGTTTGGGACATGAGGGGAGTTGTTTCTCTTTTGAACAGCTACGTTAAGTGGCTAGGTAAGTTGAGAAGACCATCTAATTTCCAATATTCTAACCTAGAAGTATGTAAAAGTAAGGTTAACATTTCGTTTTTACGGCGCGGTACTCTTTCTGGCTCGTTACCTGCTATACAAAATAATTAGAATAAACCAAATTAGTAATAATTTATTCTGGAAGCATTTGTTGGCTAAGACTAAGCAAGGCAAGTTAATATCTTAGATATGGATGATACCGCTTAACCCAATTTTTGTCTAAAATTTTAGTTTTAAACAACTTTTGAGTGCGGAATGAATATCTTTAATATATACATATTCATTCAGAAATTACATTTAATGTCATAAATGAAATTAATAATTCCAGAAATGGAGTATTTGCATGCAACGTGACAAGTGTCGTGTCGATTCCATTCTTCTTGTGTCAACTATTAACACGACGATTGACTTCCTTGCAGCTAACATACGTGAGGGCCAAGTACTTGTCGATGGAAAACATTGATATTCCTAATTTTGGAAGTTTTAAATAATTTCTATTCGATAAGTAAATCCCAATTAAGCTGAGTTTCATGGCGCGATTTATACTAGGCTCGTACCGTCCCTCTCGGCTGTTAATCAATTTTGGAAAGGTGTGATTTATCGATTAATTATTAACTTGGCATTTTTGTTTTTCTCTTGTTGATAGCGTGTGGCAGATTCCCGTCGACGATGACTACATTTACCCAGGGCAGCTATACATGTACGCGAACTACAAGTTATTCAGTAATTCGTCTAAGAGGAAACCTAACACTCGCATTGCGAAGTCTCGAATTCCTCGTTAAACTATGCGACAATGTTATCAATCTCGAATTTCGTGCAACAATGTGCAAGGGTGACGTGTAATTGTGTAGCACTGAATCACGACATTAACGATCATCCTCCATCATTCGTTAATGACAACCGAAACGTTTCTTGCGAATAGTTGATCGATCGCTTTCTTATCGTTTCGATCGTAAGATCGAGATAAGGAGGAAAGGGAGAGTACTGAGCCTTTGTTGTTTCGTGGATCAATGTGGTCTCCATTCTTGCTCTTGATTGTCTATTTAGAATTTCCTAAATTTTTCTAATTTTCAAGAAAGAAAAATGATTTAAGTTTCATAAATCCAGACCTGCTTAATATTGTCTGATATTCTCACTTGACTTTAATCCATTTATTCTCGCGAAATGTTCATCGTTGAATGTTGTTTAGGATTCTATAGGAAGAAAAAGAATTTAGTTGGCAAGAGTGGAAGTGACGATACATCGATTCACTTAAAGTCATGACGTACACTTTAAGGAAACTTAAATCCTTGCGAAATGGAATTCTCCTTATTTGAACTGCGCCGCGATGGTGATTGTTTTCAATTATTGTTCTCTATTTTAATAGAAGGAATTTTCTCACTTTGTAATAGGGTTCTCGAATGGATGGAAGGAAACTTTCATGAGCGGAGACCAAGAACCTTGGGTGTTTCGGGGCGGATTAACTGCTGATTTACAGGTATTGTTATGTACAATATTGAAATTGTTTAGCATTCGATACTCTTTATCTGATGTAACTTTCTTTATATATATCTTATTATTTTTTTGTACATACATTTCTGTATATACTTTTTAGAGATTGATTCCTGTAGACAGTGGAAATGATTTGTTCGTGTACAAAGCACCGGAAGTTCCCAGCAGTAAAATATACACGATCAGGCCTTACGAGTCTGGGGACGAGGATGCAGTTCATGCAGCTTGTAATCGAATTGCAGGATGCACGACTTCCTCCGCTGTAGCAGATAGGTGAGGAAATCACGAGAGAAGTGGAGAACATTTAAGAGATCTAGAAATAATACGATTTCATTTGATTTTATGTTTTTCTTTACGTGGGTTTTCAGACTCGTCGCTGGATATTTGACACTCTGTCCTGAAATGTGTATGGTGGTCGAGGACGAAGACGGTATTGTCGGTTATGCCCTTGCTGCCTTAAACATAAAGACCTACAATCAGAAAATGGCAGTATCCTTGATACCAGAGTTCCGGTTAAAATATCCTCTGGAAATCACCACAGAGGATATGCCATCTAATATCAAAGTAAATTTGTCTTTCCTTTTTCTCTCTCTTAATTCAACTTATAATTAATGCGTTACGCTGTGCTTGCAGGATGCCATCGAGTACTTCCATTCTTTCGTGTCAGAAGTTCCGGAGCAAATTTGCAGGCAACATCCGTCTCAGATTTCCTGCGCAGTCTTGCCATCGGTGACTGACCAGTCCATTCCTAAGAGACTCATTACTTGTGTCCTTGCTGCCTTAAGAGCTAATGGTATGCATTTAAAATCACTTTTAGCCTTATGGTAAAAGATTTCCTTTATTTTTTTTCTATTCTTACTTTCGATAAAATACTCTCGACGTCTTTCACTTCACCTTGATAAATGCCTAGTCTCTAAAGCCATATCAGTTTGATAATATGGAATTCTATTTTATGAACAATTATTCGTATTGCAGGGTCTTTTGGTGTTCACTCTCTGATACCAGTTGCGGACAAGGAGATGCACGAGTTTTATGGGAAACTCGGATTCGTCGACGTTAACCAGTCGCAAGAGGAGAACACATCGGTAGTAACAATGTGTAGGAGTTTCTAACAAAGGGCGAGCACACCTGTGATATTTGTTAACAAGATATTGCTATTCAACCCAGCCTTGGAAAGAGCTGCGAATACCTGAACGAGTAGGTCGAATATTAATTGCACAAGTATTCAGACGGTAATTGTGGACGAACGACCGCAGGTATTCGAGGTGCCGCGAAAGTGCGCCGATTTTTTCAGACGTACGTGCATATCTGCAGACATTTTTTCAGGGGAATGGTAAGAGTCGTTAACGTGCGCGTGTACCAAGAACACTGACTGAGCCGTTCTGTGTTCGTGGAGAATGAGGTTCTAGTGCGTACGTTGTACATACGTCTTAGGTTTAAGTATCCGGAGGAATGTTTTATAAAAAAGAGAGAGAGAAAAGAAAAGAAGAACGAGCGCAGAGGGAAAGAAACGAGCACGCGATGTTGGGTCTGTTTCGTTTTCCGGTAGAGCCCGGATATGTTATTCCAGGGATACGACGAAAGAGATTTCTCAGGAAGGATTTCTATCGCCTTGAGAAATTGATTCTAGGCTTTCGTGGTAATCTCTCTTTTTTTTTCTTTATCGTCAGCTGGGACAGCATCGGTCATGTTGAATCGTCATATCGCAATTTACAGTATGCAAGGATGATTTTTAATGTAACGTAACGTGCTAGCGAATCCTCAGTTTCTGGAGAATTAAAGATAATATCGAGAATTCCACGGGATTATTGTCTCAGTGTGCAATATTTGGGAAATCAACGTCTAATTATGTTCACAGGACCATATTCAGTTTGAGTGGGTTTCAATCGGAAATAATATCGATATAGTTCGGAGTACATGCTCGTTAAGATATAGTCAAATCATGCGTTACATGTTATAATTTCTTTTTCTTTTTTTTTTCCTTTCATACTTTCTTCTTTTTCGTTAAGAAAATTCAATCTCTCATTCGGCGTTTCAGGGAAAAATGGCGAGGGAGTGATATTTATAAGGGTTCATCCAGAAATAATTTTAAACGTGTACATATTTAGCCCGATATCTATTAGATGAATTTTGCTAGATCATAATCGGAGGCTCCATCGAAAAGTAGCTTCGACTGCCATTACTGAAGAGGAGCGAACCAGGAGATTTTAATTATCTTCTTGCGTTTAAGAGGTGCCTTAAGGTGAAGTGAAATCCTTCTCAAGTCATTAAGTTCCAATAAAACAAGAATAAGACATTAAACATCTAAGAATTAGCGTCGAGCTCTGATATTTTTTATTATTAATACGAACGTCGGGAATGTAGGTATTTAGAAGATTCTCTTTTACCGAAGTCGATCAAATGTCTCGATGTATTTCACTTCACCTTGAGTTTTCATTGTCGCTCAATGATAAACTTATCGAACCCTTGTTCTATACGGCATCTCACATCTAGGAAGGATTATTTAGCTCGGATAAACTGGAAATGTTAGGATGTTTAATGGTACAGTTTTGTCGGACGTCCTGATAACATATCCGGGTTTTATTGATACACAAGCGGCGTATCGCCAAATACTTTTGTAAAATATTTCTTTAAAACTGTTAAAGTAGTAACTCGGATTGATTTATTATATGCGGAAGATGGACGAACTTTTAATGCGTCTTGACGTGCATTACATATTAGTCGTGGGTTGAGAACTATTACTTTAATAAGAATTGATTTAAACGTACATTCTTAGGGATATGTAAAAGTGATATGACGATACGTCTCTTATGTACCGAAGGCATTATTTTGCGAGTATTTTAAATTACGGCAGAAAGGCGATAAAGCTGGTAACTCTTAAATAACAAGCCAAATGCGGTAAACATTGAGATTGTAAACACTTTTAACCAATAATCTATACATTTGGGAGGAAATGTAAGGCTAAATGGACGCTGATTACCAATGTACAGAAACTATATCTTTTCATAGTCTCACTACCATGTTTTCGTAAAAGTAATATACATTTTGTAATTGTCAGTCAACTGCACCGAAGTTGATACTATTGTAGCGATGCACTCCATTAAAGGTTGTTTGATATGTTTGCTGCAGCGAGAGCGATACGGTATCTGAGAAAGTCCTTTTAAATAAATGAAAACCATCTGTCCAAAGGGACAGTTTCTTTTTGAATCGAATCGATGCGAACGTATCAAACAACAGCCTTGTAGCTGGGCGGATTAGGAAATCTGTGTAGCAACAACGTATCTGTTGTTTTTATTAATATTTTTATCCACGGCCTGATAATGTATTTCAGTGACTGCATATTGTGTCAAAGATTGTCGGGAAGAGAAAGATAAAAGTTATTCACTTCCTTGCAGCTTTATTTACTAATTCATTTTTTTTTTGTTTATTTTCTTTTTCTTTTTCTAATAATATGTTCAAACCTAATACAGCCATAATTGCACGCGCTACGTATACATAATTTTTAATTCATGTCGTAACATCCCAGTAATTGAAACGAAATAAATGCGAACTGAAACGAATTCAAACATTGTCAGAATTAAATGTTTCATTTTTAAATTGGGTTCATCGTAGATATAATAATTGTCGGATAAGTACATTACGCTTTCATTTAGAAAAAATACTTAACTGCCCATTGCATAATTTCGAGTATGACGCAGAATTTTATCGAATTATTAAAACCCCAATTTTCTCTCTGATAATGATTAAGAGCAATTTGCATCCAATGTATACAATAATTACAGTGCTTTTACATAACCGCTCTTTTGGAATCGGCGGTTAAAATTGAGTTTATACGTCAGTCAGGTTTTAACTCCAAATCCCACTGTTTCTAGTTTTAGTCTATATTTGCAATCAAAAGCGTTCAAAATTAACGTTTTTATGTAAATTAAGCGAATCAATTCACATCCCCGTATTCGTAGAAGAAAAAAAAAATGGAAACTGCTCGTGCCGCCATCTAGCGGAGGCCGCCGAAACTAAGTCGAAGACGCGTATGTACCTGAGTGCGCGAACATGGCTGCCGGTGTCGCCTCTGTCACCTGTCTGCCCCGCGACGGTCGGAGAACCGCCCCACTCCATCTCAATTTTCGTCAGGTAGAAATGCCGTTCGCGGTCCGAGTGTAAGGAAAGAATGGCCGAGAATTTGGATAAACGACCGTCGAAAGGCATCCTCAAGTCGTCGAGCAGTTTCGACAACCATGAGACCTCCCGGTAAGCGATTCGTCACGTGACGGAGCACCGCCTGTCATGCTTATTTTTATAACCTACGTAATCGACGATTGAAATATTTTGGTAGCCGCGACGGGTCGAATCGTGCGAGGAATCAAATCTTTGTTTACATTGACACTCGCCGGCCTTTCCAACGCTTCGATCTAGCAAATTCATGTTTCCGCTATAATTTATTACTGTAATAAGTGTACTGTATATAACGCATGTACAAATTTCTGTGGAAGGGCTGTTCTGTGTCATGTTTCCTATACATATATATATACGAGTACGTATATACATATGGATTCCCTTATATTCATTTAATCCCTTCATTTTAATCTTTTTCATTAAACACATGCGTTGGATAGCTTGTCGTGACTATTAGTGACTCTGGGAATCGTTCTTTTGTGTAGCGCTTTAGATTTATGGAGTAACGTTGACATCATGAATGAATATGCATCGAACGGCAGTTTGAGGGGGGAACTGTCGAGTACTTGTCAGAGTTCTGTGTTATCCGGGATTATTATGACGCGAACAACTTCTGAAATAATCCTATTTATGTTGTCGCTGCTGTTGTAATATTTTAGCACAGATGTATTTGCTGTCGATTTACATGGGATTTGTCTGATCGATAGTTTTGACTTTTCGTCAGAGCTCGGAAGGGTTTCTAGGTTGTTATTTATGTTTCGAATTAACTTGTTGAAGTTATGACGTTCTGTTCGCTGTTTCAGGGCAAACAAGGAGACCAAATGGGATGAAATGAATATTATTGCAACGTTACATCCTGCGGAGAAGGATTATGGCCACATGAAAATTGACGAGCCAAAGACGCCGTATAATTACGAAGGCATGGAGCACGAACGGGAGCCGGACCAGTTGGATGCCTCGACGATTGCAATAAAGTGAGTAGTTCATCCAAGTTTCATGTTATCACTAATTCAAACCATACTGCAGAAATCTAAATACTTCGCCCGATAAGTTATTTGATTGAATCGATAACATTTTTGCTAGTTCAGCTATGGAATATCATTAATGATGAAGAGAACGTCTGACGTTAGTTGAACGTTTGTATGATGTAAGCTGTTTAAGAGTTTCAACGTCACTTTACTGTACGTGTATTCGAGGTTCTGCAGTATGGCTTCTGTAATTATTTTCCACTTCTTCCAGGCTTTCAGGTTTCGCAATGTGTTCGTACTCCGTAATAAACCATGCTTCCAATATCTGCGACGTAGGCATGCTCATTCGAGTCTTGTATAATTCCGTATCATCGAAACTATTTCTTACAATTTCATGCCAGCTTATTAATACATGCAATACATGATTATAGTTTCAGTCGATGAGCAGCGGTCAAGCTCAGACCCAACGATAAAATCCTCTCCGATATGCTTAAGAAATAAAAAGAAAAATGTCATTAGACCGTCTCTTAAAGAATCATTATCTATTATTAGATATCTTATCACATGGCCTAGGTAATTGGAAATTAAATAACAATCTCTTACAAGACATAACGGTAGAGAAACTCAAAATTCTCCGCTGAAATTTTGTAAAGGGTGCGGTGCCTTTGAAAATCCTTTGAAAATTATCCAACCCGGAGAAATCAGTTTCACGCTCTATGGGGGTAAATTTGGTCGTAAAAAGTGGAGTACGTAACGTGGCGAAAAAAAAAGAAAAGAAAAAAAAAATCCTCCATGGTTTAGTCGAATACCAGGACTCCGTTCAATCGCCCTGCAACTAGAGCGGAAACGACGCTTTATTACCCCGATATTACCCTTTGCCGATACAAAGTGTCCTGTAACGGCGAATGAATAAAGTTTTTCCCCTATTGCGGAAATGTCGGTCGGGGGAAAAAAAAAAAAGAGAATCGAAATCCTCCCTTCAAGTACCCCCAAAATTAAGGAAAATTAATTATACCAGCTTGGGCGTTAGAGAGAAAATATCTAAACCGCAGTTTAAACACGCCATTTTTATTTTATTTATTTTTTTCTTCCCCCTTCCATTTAACACTCCCGAGGGAGGATTTAAAGAGGGCGACCGAAATATTTGGACTGCGGTTTAAAGTACTTTTCTTTTTATTTTAACACTCTTGGGGCGGGATATATTTACGAGTGGCGAGTAAATTTAAACTGCCGTTTAAGCGGAACCGCTGAAGTTTTTCTATTAGCGCTTCCTCCTCTATTCTTTTTCTTTTATTAGCCGTTTTGGACCTATCCCAACAACTTGAAAGTACGGGGCCGGTAATTTGCGAAAGGAGAAGGGCGAATAGTAGTGCTTTAAAAATGATAAAACCTCGCTCCTTTATTTAATCACTTTTTAATTTAAAGACGTTTAATTCAGGTTGATACTACATTGTACGGAAAAATTATCTATGTAAAAGGGCTCGGAGAAATTATGGAATATTCGGATACCGGAGATGTTAGGGGATTGTTAAATGTATTATTTCCATTTGTACTATTTTTCTTACTTTTTCTCTTTATTTGCAACCCATCCGTTAAAATGATGAGAGGCACTTCATCATTTAAAACTTCACCGGAAAATCGGAGCGGTATTTGTTTCCTAAATAAATAGGGAATTTTGTTAACCAAATCGTTTCAAACTTTATAATGTGAATATGGGGGTTATAACGAAGGTCCTGACACTCATGAGATTTCCATTTAAAAATAATTTATTGTATAGGCTGACTCTTTGATATCTCATTAAGGTGATATGAAAGTGTGGTATATACATACCAGAAAGTGAAAATATTAATAAAGCTTTTCTCCAAACTGGGTGCACCGAATTGTCTGAAACATTAACACGTGATTACGGAGGCCCTAAGGAATAGCGCACTGCTCGTGAAATTTCTTATTTCGAAAAAAAAAAAATTTTTCTACATATCTGGGACAAGAACGAAAAAAGATGTATTTTTTTTTGTTTGAAAAATGAAATTTCACGGGCAGCGCGTTCTTCCTTGTCGCTTCCATAATCACGTGTTAAAGTTTGAGATAATTCAGAGCACCCAGTTTGGATAAAAGTTTGATAAATATTTTGATTTTTTTTTTATGTGTATAGAATGACCCTTTCATATCACCTTAATTGACCGTTTAATAAATATTAGCTGGACTGGCGTATGACCGGCAACTCTCATTGACGATCAGCCGTTTTCGAAAAAAAAAATTTTCTACTTATCTGGGACAAGAACGAAAAAAGATGTATTTTTTTTTTCTTTGAAAAATGAAATTTCACGGGCAGCGCGTTCTTCCTTAGGGCCTCCATAATCACGTGTTAAAGTTTGAGATAATTCGGTGCACCCAGTTTGGATAAAAGTTTGATAAATATTTGGATTTTTTTTTTTATGTGTATAGAACGACCCTTTCATATCACCTTAATTGACCGTTTAATAAATATTAGCTGTACTGGCGTATGTAACTCTCATTGACGATCGGCCGGTATCGTTACGACGTGCAAATGCCTTGCGGTAATTGTCGGTGAACCGATGCCGGGCACTTAGATGGGCAATTACCGGAGATGGAGGCCTGGACGTACCTTAACCTTGGTCGGAATCAAGCTACCAATTGTGCCCAATCGGCCGAGAAGCTAAGCGCATCTCCAAAGGATGTCCTACTTCGAGAGCCGGCCTCGAATTACCTCGGCGGAAAAGAAAAACCGGGCACCAACAACGAGACGAGGAGAGTCCATCAAGCCCGGAAGCTGCGAAGCTCTGAAAAGCGAGGAAGAGAATTTACGAGGGAGTTCAGGAAGAAGAAGGAGAGTCGCACATCCCGCAAAAACGCGGCCGAAACTCGGCGTTTATTTTNATATTTATTCACTCCTTTCACCTTGTTAAGGCGATAGTTTAATCGACGTCGATATTGTAAAATCCGTATGTGACTTTTTTGGTGGCGATGCCACTTTCGATACTCAAGTGTTAACATTAGCTGGCGCGCCACGTTACCGGCATTTTTATATTTATCTTCATGTTTTTTATAGTGTATGGCGAGAATGATACGAACTGAACCGTTTTATATGTCATTTCGGTGAAGTTATGGTGAAAAGATCTATGTAAAAGTATCGATAATCCTGGGAACTCATTGTTATAAAGACTGTTTAGGACCGACGTCGCCATCTGTGAGGTTTGGCTGTAACTAAATTTTTTTTTCTCGGTAAGAACGAGTGGCACCCACGAGACAAGCCGGCATTCTCTTGCAATCGTTCGTGAATGTATTTTTCATATTTTAGCATCTGACTCTGTAATATTCCATTTTTGTGGTGTTCTACATTGTTCGTTATAGGTCCTGAAGCTCTTCATTTTTTATTCTTAGCCTCCGAGAAGCGCAAAACAGCGAATACGTGCACGGGCCACGCCATGTTGTTTCTAGTCCATGATAAATAAATATTGTTTTCATGAAAAATGATATTTCATGAGCTTCAGGACCCAATTTAGAGCCTCCGTAGTAAAATTTGAGACGAATTGGTACACTCAATTCGTAGAATATTTTCTTTAACGATTTAATATCATCTTATGGCCTCCATAATCACTAAAATGTCAAGTGATTCGGTGCACCTAGTTTGAAAAAGTGTTTTCAAAATAGTGGCATTCTCTCTCTCTTTTTTTTTTTTTCTTTTAGTTTCCAACCGTAATTATGGGAGGACGTCCTTTCGCTGAATGGCGATGAAAATTGCGGGGAAGTAATGCCGCGAGCTGGAGGCGATGCAAATTTTGAATTTTATATACTTTATATTTATATCTTTTTCTTTGCAGGGGAAAATACCATGCGATGTCCTACCTAATGACGGGAACAGTTCTCGGGAATAATGATGCGAGTCTCGATTTATGTTTTTGGTGTTTTTTTCTAGTTTTTCCTCTTTCTTATTTTAATCAAATGAGGCCTGATATGGAGACTTCAGTTTTAGAGGGAATCATTTTCTGGCGGGAACGGTATCACGCGAATGCAACGATTTTTTTTTTTTTTGAAAAGTGGGGTTTCCGAGACTTCGATGGCTTCAAAATATTGGCCTGTTTCGAAAACGATTAAAAAATCGAGAAAAGCACGATTTAATAATGGAGAACTGCAGAATTCAAAAATCGAGGATGCACGATTCAAAAATCGAGAAATGCACGATCTGATAATGGAGAATAGCAGAATTGAAAAATCGAGTAGATATCTATTGAAATAAATGAAAGGAAGGGCGATTTAAAAATCGTAAAAGCAGGATTCGCGAAAGAGGGACTTTAGAAATGCTTGCAGGGACTTTATGTTTATCGGCATTGGAAAGATTTTAGCATTTAACAGTCCCTCCCCCTTTATCTCCGCAATCTGTATAAATTTCCTTGGTCCGTTATCGGTCGTACCGGAAGTCTCGCGTGCAGTTCGAAAATCGCAGTCCATTATCGGGAAATAAAGTTGCGCCCAAGTGGAGGTAAGGAAAATCCCGTCGTAACATTACTTCGATTTCCCCCGAGGCTCGAGCCCGTTTGAAAATCGCGCAATAAAAGCCGGAGAATACCGCATTATCGTCATATTTCGGATTTCCACTCGCTTACCGGCGGTTTTTTATTTTTATCCCCCTTTTTTTTATTTTTCCAACACAAAACGGCCCCGAGCTTTTTTACGACTCGCCAAACGCGGGGGATAAGGGAGGAGAATTTTCCCTCGGTGAAAAATCGATTTTCCCGCCACTCTTAAACACGTCCTGGTAAACAATGCAGACAATGCAACGGAACGAGACAATACGACGACGATTGAAAATACAAAACAATGCTATTACCGGTTTATTTAACTAGCCCTACATTTGTTGTTTTTTTTTTCTCAACTCCCACTTTCACATCCCCGACCCATAAAAATATTACCGAAGAGAGCGATAAGGATTTTAATATTGAAAAAAAGCCTCCATATTCACTCAACCTAATATATGTGCCCATAATTATGAAAGTGGTCTAAGTCAAAATTAAAAAAAAAAAAATGAGTTTATCAGTTATTTCACGCCATATTATTTCAAACGAAATTAATTCAATGTAATTTCGAAACCAAAAATATATGACTTAGACCACTTTCATAATTATGGGCACATATATATATTTTTTTTCTGTTGTTAATAACCGAAATTAATTTTTTACGCAGACTGGAATCTGCAGAAATTCCGTAATTACGTTTCTCCCATTTCCTCGGGGACTCGTTACGGAAATCGTCGTCGATAAGTCGAGAAAAATCGCATTATGGTCGAAATCCTCAGATTTTGGATTTCTAGTCGCATGCCGACGATTTTTCAACAAAATGGCCTCACGTTTTACGACCTGCTAGGGGAGAATTTATTCCATAAAAAATCGACCCCCTTGCACCTTTAACCCTGACTTCTTTTCCGCTCGTACTATTAAACGCGGTTAAATAAATATTACCAGATGCGTGTACCACAATTGGGATTTTCATTTTCCTTTATCCAGGTTTCCGGCAACTGCACTCGGAAAAATGTAACAAAATTTATTCCCATAAAATAGGCAACTATTGAAGGTATACAAATTATTACATAGGTTTGTTTTACTCCTCGAAATGTGTTGTAAACATTGGTGATGTAAAATAGACGAGGTAGAGATGTATTAATTTTATTTATAGATTTTTCACGACTGATGTGAACGATGTCGTTTGTAAATAGGCGAGGTATAAATCGGTGGAAATAATTTTGTAATAATTATTGGGGGGGTTTTCTTGCTATTGTTAGTAACGTTTGTCGTCTCAGGAGGCGTTTCTGAAATCCCGGTCACTTTATCCAGATATAAATCTCTCTCGGAGAATTCCATCGTAATACCTATTTCTTCGATTTTCTCGGGGACTCGTTTCAACATCGCACAATAAAGGCTCGGGAATCCGCATTATCGTCATATTTCGGATTTCCGCCCACTTGCCGTCGATTTTCACAACAAAACTTCCTCACGTTTCACGAATCGCGGAAATAGGGACGCGAGAGGTTGAGTTTCCTCTGTTGAATATCGTCTTTCCAGAGTTATTAAACACGTCAACACAAAGAACAGATTTCACCCTTTTAACCCATTTTCTTCTTCGGATGAAAAAAAAAAAAAGATTGGCGGTGAAATTGAAATTTGCAAACATTGGCTTTCCGATATTGAGTGACAATTTGTTTCCGGAATTTACGATTTATATTCATTTTTTATTAAATTGGGATGTTGATACAAGAGGAAGAAAAAATGCTCCAAGATTTCCTGAAAATCCTGTAATCCTGCATTGAGAATATAAGAAGAGAATTCATCGAACCATACGGATATTTCTTTGGTACCGTTCAAAGAAATATCCGTATAAATTGTCCGAAATAAATTGTCGTAATTCCGAGGAAACGTTGAACCCAATTTATTCGAGTCTGAGTGAAATAATTATTCGGTTAGGAAAATGTTTCTTTGGTACTGTTTAAATGATTTTTTTTCTCAGTGCAGGTAAATCGAAAAAAATAGGAGTGAATTAATTATTCGTTTGGGTTAGGAAAATATTTCTTTGGTACTGTTTAAATGATTTTTTTTCTCTCAGTGCAGGTAAACCGCATTTGCGGTTTCGGGTGGTAATTCCAAAAATTGGAGTGAATTAATTATTCGTTTGGGTTAGGAAGATATTTCTTTGGTACTGTTTAAATGATTTTTTTTTCTCTCAGTGCAGGTAAACCGCATTTGCGGTTTCGGGTGGTAATTCCAAAAATAGGAGTGAATTATTCGTTTGGGTTAGGAAGATATTTCTTTGGTATTGTTTAAATGATTTTTTTTTCTCTCAGTGCAGGTAAACCGCATTTGCGGTTTCGGGTGGTAATTCCAAAAATTGGAGTGAATTATTCGTTTGGGTTAGGAAGATATTTCTTTGGTACTGTTTAAATGATTTTTTTTTCTCTCAGTGTAGGTAAACCGCATTTGCGGTTTCGGCTGGTAATTCGAGAAATAGGAGTTCGTTATCCGGTAACAAAGTGGCAACCGGGGAATTGCGCCCTTCATAACGTTTCTTCGATTTCCTCGGGGACTCGTGCCCGTTTTGAAAGTCGCACTATAAAAGCCGGGTATATACGGCATTATCGCCATATTTCGGATCTGGCTCGGTTTTTCAGCAAATCCTTTTCGCCCTTTACGACCCAAGAGATGCAGACGAGAACGCGAGGCGGTAAAAGGGGAATTTCCTCGGTCAAGGATCGATCTCTCTCTTTCTTTCTCTCTTTTCCACCAGTTTTAGATATCTCTCGGTCGACGGGATGCAGACGGACGTTACGTCGAACATATTTTTCGGATTTTTCGAGCACGGTTCTCTCCATATCGAACGGGGAAATATATCAGGAGCTTTAACGTGTCGGCTTGTTATTCCGACTAGGCAGGACTTGCGGAATATAAATTGCGGGAGCGGTTTTCGAAAGCTTCCGATGGAGGATTTATCGCCCTGACTACATTGTTGGGATAATTCGATCCTCTTCATCTTTCATACTTGCATATAAATGAACAAAGAATTTTTTATGGATTTTTTCGTCGTTGGATAATATTGGAAATTATTCATATACTTATCGATGCGAATGTATTATTGGGATGATTCATTCCTGTTCATCTTTTATACTTGCATATAAATGAACAAAGAATTTTTTATGGATTTTTTCGTCGTTGGATAATATTGGAAATTATTCATATATTTATCGATGGGATTACATTGTTGAGATAATTTATTCCAGTTCATCTTTCATACTTGCATATAAATGTACAAAGAATTTTTTATGGATTTTTTCATCGTTGGATAATATTGGAAATTATTTATATATTTATCGATGGGATGCATTGTTGGGGTAATAATCTTACCCCCTCCGAGTTTCCACACCTGTGTAAAAACGTAGAAAGGGTTTAACACATTCTACTTGTTATTACATTAAATTTCAAGTTTATACGTTTTCACGGGTATTGTTTAAAAAAATTCTAAAAAGTTTCTGGACCCAAGTCCAACTTTTCCCAACATGGATTGTTCTTTGTCTCTACGGTACAGATACATGGAGACTCAACGAATGAAAATAATCCATTGCCTCTCCCATGTACGTGATCGGCGAAAAAGAAGTGGAGGAAATTCTCCCTATTTCCATCTAATCTATCACGCGAAACCCCACTCGATAAGAAGAAAAACGGGGGCCCCGAAAAATATCGCATTATCGCCGGATTTCGAATCGCCGCCTCGCCCGAGTTTTTCAGTAAAGAGCAGCCCCGTGTTTTACGACTTACGAAATGCAGAGGAGAATGGAGGCCGTAAAAGGGGGATTTCCTACGTTGAAAATCAATCTTTAGTGGCCGGGAAATATAGGCGGCCGCGATGGCGGAAAAAGCGGGGGGAAGGAAAAAAGAAAAGAAAAAAAAAAGGTGGAGGAAAGGAGTTCCCTCGCGGTCCCTATATCTCTAGGGGGGGAATTTTTGCCATAGGATTTGCCAAGAATTCCGCCCCTTAAGGAGACTCTAGGGACCCCCCAAAGGGGTGTGAGATGCATATATATATATATATATGTGACAAATACATATATACACACCCTATCTTTCCCGAGGATTATATTGATGGAATGAAAGTTGCAAATTTCGACCCGGATGCGTAAAATGGGGCGGGGGACGTAATTTTCAAATGGTGCGCAGAATGGGGGATTTTCTGGTGAGAGAAAAAAAAAATGGAGAAAAAAGGGGATGAGTCCCTGGGGAGATATCGTCTTCTTGTTAGACTGTAGGGTGGTGAAAGGAAAGATAAAAAAAATTCAGAAGATATCCTGGAAAATAAAAATTCGAATCCATCTCTGCATCTCGTTGCTCCGTCTCGCAGGGGGGCTGATACTATTTTCTTTTTCCCCCCTTTTTTTTTATTCAGATTCTCGAAGACTATCTCGCCTTGAGAAAGATCCTCCCTAGAAAGAAGTACGAGAGCTTCCTATTTGCACTCGGGCCTATTTTGACGGGAGGAAAGTTGCGAATTTCTTCCTGGATCTGCAAAATGGGGCGCCTCCACCCGAGGGAGGAGGGGGCGTTATTTCGAAGTCGGGCACACAACGGGGGATTTTCTGGGGGCTGTGGAAAGAAAAAAAAGAGAGAGAGAGAAAGGGGGATAGGACCCTCGAGATATTGGCACCTTCTGGGCTCGATGGCTCGTAAACCTACTTCACGGGAGACGAGCCATTATTTCACGTAAGCTCGCGTGTAAAAAAGATTGGCCCGCTGCCATTCCGGTCCGGACATCCTCCTTACCTTTGTATTTTTACCGACGTTTCGCTTGTTTCTCCATTGTTTTTTTTCGCTCTCTTTCCTTCCTTACACTTTTTCTTTTCTCACTCGCTTCAAGGTGATATGAAAGAGTCAGCCTATATATACATCAGATATGTATATGTGAGAGGTCCAATCCTTGGGGAAAGTATTCAAGTTTTTCCAGGTGAATAGGAAGGCTCTAATGTAGGCCCTGAAACTCGTGAAATTTGATTTTTTAGAAGAAAAAATTTATTTATTTATCATGGAAAAATTTAGTTCCAGCTGAACGTCACAGATGGCGACGTCGGTCCTTAATAGTCGTTAGAATAATGAATTCCCGTGATTATAGACAGTTTTACGTCGATCTCTTCGTCATTACTTCACCGAAATGACATATGGAAAGCTTTAGTTCGTATCATTATCAACGTGGACTGTAAAAGACGTCAATATAAGTATAAATGTCGGTAAAGTGACGCGCCAGCTTACGTTCCCACTTGGGTATTAAAAATGACGTTACCACCAAAAAGAGTATAGATGAACTTTCCATGAAATATTGTTTAAATTGCGAATTTTATTTTAGACTTGCAATTTTCTTTTTCCAGATTGGCTCAGAGTGACAAACCGAAGGCTTTCGAGCTCTCGAGTGAAGACGAGGACGAAGAGACGCCCGAAGAACGAGGTATATGTCGTAAATCCTGTTCTTCTTCTTTTTTAATCCCTTGACGAAGGAAAAGCCCTGTACAAAATCTTGAGGCACGTTTTTGCGATTTACGGGGGGAATTTTCATCCGACCTAGGACATTTTACTCGGGAGCTTTATTTCGTGCAAACTGGGTTTTTCAATTTTTTTTTTTTTCTCTTTCCCGTCAGATAATAATTTAGTAGACAACAGATTTGTAGAGTTGTATGTGGCAGATCCTTATCATGTCTTTTCTTTTGTCTTCGAACTGGGTGTACGGAATTCTCCCAAACTTGACAACGTGAACATGGAGGCCATAAGGAAGGTCCTGACACCCACAAGATTTGAATGTTTAGAAAATTAGTTTATAGGCGTTTGAAAAGTTTTTTCATGAAAAAATGAAATTTCCTGAGGGACCTTCCTTACAGTCTCCACTGAGGTCTGAAAGGATTCGGCACACCCAGTTAAGGGAAAAGGTCCATTCTTCGGATGGTAGTCTTTATAAAGCCCCTTAAATAAATTGTGGAAAAATCTCTGTCTTAAAAAAAATTAATATTATTTCAGAAAAGAGGAAGGCGTTCGAGGCGAAGAGGAAGGGCCACTACAGGGAGTGGCAGGCCGTTCAATTGGCTCGCAAGAAGTGTTTGGACTCTTCTGACGAGCAAGAAGACGACACCGACAACGGGAACGATCTGCAAATGGACGAAGTGCCGAGCACTCACTTTAAATGCCTGTTTCCTTGCACGAGCAAACGAGATTCTAACTCGCCCCCGCCTAACTGATTGCACCCGAGAATTGGCCGGTCAAGTCGCGACCGAAGAGGGAAGATACGACGAGAGTGGAAGATTAGAGAAGAGGGAAAACGTAAAAGTAATAAGTAAAAAAGAAACGCGGAAAGAGACAATTGGGAGGCCGCACTTGCAAGATACCACGGCTCTAACGATGATATTATCCTTTAACATTGCGCCAGGATCAAGCATCAATACATCAGCAATCCGTAGATCGTTCTGCGTTCTCGATTAGTAGATACAAAACGAAAGGGTGGAAAGAAAGAGAGAGAAAAAGTGACCGTGTGGTGAGATGCTTATTTTAGAGGTTGTACGAGGTGCTTAATTATTGTTATTATATATATATACATATATTATATATATATTTTTTTTCTTAGACACGACCTAGTCTAAGAACTTGACATAACCTCTGCAAGGATACATTATGTGGTAAGCCTAAGTGTAATTAATCGCGAGGACTTTACTTCCGCTTTCTAAGGCTCTGCGTTAACGACGTCTGATGAATGATCTAAGTATTATGTATATTGTATGTATATTAAACCGCATACTGTATTCTTGTCCTCTAATCTCGAGTAATAGATACTGCGTATCTGGATCCGCACTCCCGACGATCTATTTTCGAAATTTTCGTTTTCTTATGAGGGAGCCGTCTACGATGGAAGGATTTAGGATAACTGATATTGAATAAATAGCGATACGTTTTATCTACATGTATAAATCATGGCTCCGATCCTCTCGCATGCTCCCTAAATTCTTAATCCTTGTGAGCTTTTTTAAGCCCCGACCTCGAGATGAAATGTTTATTAATTTGTAATTTAAGGTGGGATTTCTTTTTCTTCATTGTGTATTTAACATTTAGGTATGTTCTTTTCGGCCTGGCAGAGTCGAAGTAGGACTTGGTTTATACATGCTAAATCCGTTGTTCTTAATTGTTTTATGTATTCTTTCTCTTGGAAGGGAAGGATGATTAATTTGTTTAATCAATTTTGAGTTGCGCAGAACGATGACGTATTTTTTTTTAAATCTTGACCTTAAATTATATTTATATGTAGTAATTAGAATTTAATTTATATTTTCATGCATATCCAAATTTGGACGCCGTGGGTTCCCATTTAGGAAATGCTTAATCAACAATTTCGGACGCTCGTAAGGACGCCATTTTTTCCAGTTTGATTGACGTGTCTTGTCGCGAGTTCGAAATTAGACTTTAACTTATATTTTCATGCAAATCCAATTTTGGACGGTGATATAAATCCGTGGGTTCCCATTTAGGAAACGTTTAATCAATCATCTTGGACGCTCGTAGGGACGCCATTTTTCCAGTTTGATTGACGTGTCTTGTCGCGGGTTTCAGGAAATTTGCCTGACTTTATAATTGTTTAATTCCGACGATCCACGTACTGCATAAGCACCAGTCGCGGTAGGGTCGCGACCTAAATATCACGCTGATGGTTTGATTACAGTGTTGGCCTGATTTATCGATTCAATAAGGACCGAGTGGTAAATAATACTCGGGAATAAGGAATGCTGAAAGTTACATTATTAAGGCAGCCATTCCGGGGGAATGTTTCATCGATTCAGGGGAAATTCTACACTGGCCGCTGGGTAGAAAAATCGATGACACTCGTAGCCCCTCTTAATATGCAAATATGTCTACTCCATCTAACTGCCTGAAAAAGAATTACACAAAATGTAATTAAATTAAAGAAAAAAAAATGAGAAATTAAATTTGAAAGTAACATTTCATTCGGCGAAGACTGACAAGTCTTCCAGTGCTCGCCAAAAAAATTATATTTTCAATTTAAGCTTCTCATTTTTCCTGCATTTTATTACATTGTTTTTAATTTATTTTTTTTTTATTTCGTTTAGACGTAATGTTGGAATGTATGGTACATGCATTTGAAAAGCATTTTTTTTAAACATGTGGTATTTCACTTTGGAAATGAAATTGCAGTTAATGGCGATGCCATTGAAAAAACTGCAAGGGTACGGCGAGTTTATGAGCCGCCATTTTGGAATTCGCGAAGGCGCTTCTAGGTAGCTATATATGGTGTAATGCGGAAAGTGGTTTCCGGGAAATTTCATCGTTATCGGCGATGGGCATCGCCGGATGCAAATCAAAAAGATTTACACCCGGAGGAGTGCCAGAGTTTCGGAAAGTTACTTTAACTTACTTCTTCTCCGGCGATTCCGCAATCCTTGGCCTTCGCCTGCAGTGAATGCAAAGCACTTTTAATTCAAGGGCCGCGGTATTTATGGTTACTCGTCCTTCCCTTTCCTTGGGTATTCTCTACTTGTTTTGGCCCTTTTAGAACTTTTCGAGGGCGACTGCAATCGCCGTTTAAATGGAGTTTTCATTTCGGGGTGAATCTCATTTCAGCGCCCACAAGATGGCGTCTTTCCGGACGGTGAGTCACGAGAGGAAGAGTTTGTTATAATTGTCTTGCAGGAGGATCTTCGAGAGGAAAATTACAGCGAATAAAGGCGAAAGAAAGGGGCTTTTGTAAGGAGATGGTAGAAATTCAGTTTTTTTTTTAATTTGTCCATAGGTTTTCTTAACATCAACAATCGCCATTTAAATAGTTTTCAATTCGGAGTGAATCTCATTTCAGCGCCAAGATGGCGTCTTTCCAGACGGTGAGTCACGAGAGGAAGAGTTTATTATAATTGTCTTGCAGGAGGATCTTCGAGAGGAAAATTACAGCGAATAAAGGCGAAAGGAATGGGCTTTTGTGAGGGGATGGTAGAAATTTCAGTTTTTTTTTTAATTTGTCCATAGATGTTCTTAACATCAACAGGCGAAAGGAACGGGCTTTTGTAAGAGGATGGTAGAAATTTTAGTTTTTTTAGATAATTTCTTCGTAGGGGTTCTTAACATTTTTTATAAAAAATGAAATTTTAGGAGAGTCAAAACTTTCCTTATAGCCTCTGTATATACATTGTGATGTTTTGAAACGATTCGGTACATTCAGTTCGGGGAAAAGTTTCATGAACGATCGACCCCTTGGATGCCACTTTCACATCCCCTTAAGGGGGCCAGAAATCGATGCAAGAGGACGCATTAAGAGTGCTTCTCTTCCCGAAGGTTTTTCAAACTTTCGCGAGGAATAACGAACCCTTTAAAAGTTCTTTAGGGGCACCTCGTGTTATCTGAAATATGTACTCGGGCGCATACTTGAAAACTCCATCGCGCCGGTGCAAAGCCAAACTTGTTGAGTTCAGTTTACTCTTTTAAAGTGTACAGGAAATATCGAACAATATTGTATCGGCGTAAGGAAGTTTGCGCCATCTTGTGTTTTTTCTTTCAATCGAAAGAATAAATGTTTAATCTAATCCGGAGAAATAAAAGACATTCTCTGAATATTTTTAAAACATTTCATGGGCAATCTGAAATCGGTAAATTTAAAATTATGGGTTTTTAAATCGAAAGAATAAATTGTTTAATCTAATCCCGAGGAATGAGAGATTCGCTGAATATTTTAATAACATTTTATGGGTAATGTAAAATCGGTAAATTTAAAATCATCCTCGGGGCGAGTTTTTGGATTTTGAATGCCGCGCGCGAGTTAAATCCAATCCCGGGGCTGCGCTTTTGGTGTGACCTTTGCATTAGCGTAAAACGTGCATAAATGCAGAAATACAGGGCACTGACTCGGTAATTTCAAAGGGGGTTTTAGTGAAGCGAAGTCAACAATATAAAAGTTATTCCCGGGCTGGGCATCGGTATTTTGCACGCTGCAGGTGCATTAAATCGAAACGAGTGGCTTCATTTTGCGAATGCAATTTTCGCATTAGCGCCGAAAACGTGCGACTGTAAAAGTATACGGCACTCCCACTCAAAAACCACCTCCAGGGCAAAAATGAATTTACCATTTGAATCTGCTCGCACATTTTGCGGTTCTCGTGAAATCCCGAGACTTTTAAGTGAAGAATATAAACGAAGAATTTTCGTTGCAATTTTTTTTAACAAGTACTTGGCTCTCACTTATTTCATTCATAAATATATTTTCAACGTTTCATTTATTCCACGTATAAACTTACTTTGAATGTTTTACTTATTTCATTCATAAACTTATTTTAAAATAAGTTCATGAATGAAACGTTTAAACATTTCACTTATTTCATGCATAAACTTATTTCTAACGTTTCACTTAATTCATTCATAAATTTATTTTGAACGTTTCATTTGTTCCCCGTATAAACTTACTCGGAATGTTTCACTTATTTCATTCACAAGCTTATTTCATGTATGAACCATTCGTAACTTATTTTGTTTCATTCATAAATTTAGCATCATTTTCATTCATAATTATCATTTTCATTCATAAATTTATTTTGAACGTTTCATTTATTTCATGCATAACCTTATTTCATGTATGAACCATTCGTAACTTATTTTGTTTAATTCATAAATTTATCATAATTTTCATTCATAATTATCATTTTCATTCATAAATTTATTTTGAACGTTTCACTTATTTCATGCATGAACCATTCGTAACTTATTTTGTTTCATTCATAAATTTATCATTATGTTCCTTCATAATTATCATTTTCATTCATAAATGTATCATTATTTTCCTTCATAATTATCATTTTCATTCATAAATTTAGCATCATTTTCCTTCATAATTATCATTTTCATTCATAAATTTATTTTTAACGTTTCATTTATTTCATGCATAACCTTATTTCATGTATGAACCATTTCGAAGAACAATGATCGCGTCCAAAGAGCAGCCACTCGATTCGATTTAACGCGGCCGCAAACCGCGAGGCCGAATGATAAATTAATTCCCAGACAGGGAGGCGTTTTCTGAAGTGCGAAATAATTCCGTAGGAAAGTGGAAACGCCAGTGGTCTAGGTCAACGACAAGAGCGACATCGCTCTCGAGCCGTTCATTTCGAAAATTTTATGTCAAGTGTCGGCGGATATATATGTCACGCTGACGCCGCAGTCGAAATGAATTTCGCGTGCGGCTCGTTTGATGGATGCAAAATGTCACTAGCCGAGTTCTTTAGAAAACCGAAACGAAGGTTAACACCGAAGACCGATGGACTGACTCGGGAATTCCAAGAATCGATCGCCAACCTTTATTAATATAGGCTATATAATAAATATAGGCATATTTACTTTATAAAAGGAATGGGATATTTTCGGTGGGAAAATGGAATTTCAGTTTGATATTCGGTAAATCTGTAATATGCGTGTTCGTAAAGAAATGCTACGTATTTCAGAATGTGATAACGAAAATTAGATTCTTTTAAACATTGTAAAGGAAATGGGAAATGGGAAGGAATTTAAGTCAAAAAATGGAAAACGTAAAATTCCAAGAATCGATCGCCAACCTTTCCAGTAATATCCCGACTTCTGTGGGGATTTTCAAAGAAGACGTATACTAGTTACCTTTGAATGTTCATTATTAACAGGGGGCTAATTTAAATTTTATAAAGGAAATGGGAAGTGGGAAGGAATTTAAATCAAGAAAGGGAAAAACGTAAAATTCCGGGAGAGAGAAGGAATTTAAGCTCGCAGGCAATTGTTAAGTACCAACATTTCTGGCACGTGCCGAAGTGTTGTGTACTCGGAAACGTGGCTTGAATTTCTATCATCGATCGGTACTGATAGACGGTATCAGAAGAAGTTTCCTCCAGGAGCCGAAGAGGTCCTTTCAAGTCTAGATTGAGTCCTTTGAGACGTCTTTGAAACCCCACACGGCGAAGGGAAGGTTGCATTCCTGGGAAATGACTTGCAACGTGGAATGGCTCTCTAAATTACCGAATAATTAGAATTTAGCAGCGATGGCCGAGTCTAGGTCAGCAATAAAGCGAACTATTTTTAGCGAGGTCGTTAATAGCTGGTCTAGGTCGGCCATAAAAGGATCTGTTTTAGGTGGCTCTTTATTTCGACGTATTTCAAATTTCAAGCATCTCCACCATCATTAAGGTGAAGTCGATTCGAATAAGACACTTCTTTTTTTGTTTTTTAATCAAATTTGATGGATATCTTGCATCACTTTATCCGGGGACTTGTTACGTGTGTTGCGAAAATGTTGAGAAAGAATTCCCCATCTGGTGTATTATTCTGAACTACATACTAAAATGTGGGGGGAGTAAAAATGTAGAGTAAAGTCTATCGGGTGGATCTGGGTCAACAATAAAACTAATGGTAAGCCAGGCAGTTATTTATTTCTAATACATATTTACAGATTACCGCATTAATTTCCAAGTTTACCATACCTCTCGACGCAGGATCCACTGCGCCCATTATTTCTTCCTTCCCACCAGGAGTCGCACTCAACGCACGATGCAAAGTGCCGCTCATCGTTGAGAAACGACATGCCACGTGGGACGGTACTCTGCATCGGGGATTAACTGGGGTTTCTCAGCCCGACACAAGTGCCGCTACGTGGCCCGGGTCAGCAATAAAACCAACTGTAAACCGGGTATACCCTTATTTCTAAACTCGTTTAAACGCCCTCAAATATATTTCCCAATCCTCCGCTTGGTCAACGCTCATACCACGTTAAAATCCACAAAGCAACATTTAAGACAATAAAAGCACTACTTCTCTCCAGATCCCCGAAGGCAAGCAACGTAGGCTGTAACCAGTACTTCGAAGCGCCGCACTCCCTCCTAAAAAGCAAAAATAAAAACCAAACTCGTGAACACCACCACCCATAATCGTAAAGCGACTTACTTCGGGGACAAGACTCCGTGCCGATGAATCGTCCCGACATATCTGCCGTTCCGCCCTCCAACCTGCAAAAAGTCAAAGAATAACCCTCTACGGCATTATTTCAGACCTCGTAAAACCCAACAATATATTTCCAAATCCCCGACGTTCTCGACGTTGGCAACGCCTATGCACGGGGTGCCTCTTCCTCGTCGAAGCACCGCTCATCGCCGCGAAACGACTTGCCACGTGGGACAGTACTCTGAATTGGGGAATAATTGGGGTTCGGCGGCGTGGCGCTTGCGCCGCTCGGCGGGTCCAGGTCAACGGCAAGAGCGACGTCGCCGACTAGTCGTTCATCGACTGCTGACGTGTCCGCGGGCCTCGCCGCCGCCTCGCGCCGCCGCTGGTACCTCGCGCCGCCGCCCCGCGCCACCGTCGCGCCGTAGAGCCGCCCGAGCCGCCGCCGAGGCGAGCCGGTCGCCGCGCGAACGTTACTCCGCGACTCGACGGGCCCCGATCCGCTGCTGGTACGTCCGTCCCCTCGCGCCGCCGCGGCCCGTCTGCTGCCCCTGTCCGGGCCCGAGTGGCTCGAGCCACCCGACGGAGCCAGGCCGACGAGCCCGCATATGTGCCTCGCAGTGCTCGCCGGCGCACCGGCCGAGGCTTATGGGACAATTCGGGACTCGGCGAGTCGATAATAATCCCTGAGGCTCCGATGTGCCGTTCCGGCACCATAGGTGCTGTTTCCGGTGCCTGGGTACGGTGCTTTTTCCGGGGTGTGGGGGCGAGGGGGGCATGGGGGAGGATTGTGCGAGGAGTTCCTGGAGTTCTTTGCTTCCTGCAGTCGTTTAGGGGGCTCTTATGGGAGGGGAGTTTATGGGGCTTGTGAGGGCGCAGATTTGTTCCCTGGGGGAGTGGATGAGTACTCCAGGATTCGAGAGTTTAATCGCGGTGTCTAGGGGTGGTACTTTGCTTCGGGTTTTGGGCACGTGGATTGACGCCTATGGGGGTCTTTGTTTAGGGGGATCGCGGAATTGGCCATTTGGGAATTTCCCGACTTTTAATATTTGCTTAGAGGGGTGGGGATTACTATGTCGGGGGTTAGTGCCCTTGGGAATGGGGAGCGAATGTGGGGGAGGTTTATGGGGTTTCTAGGGGATTTTTTAACTGCTCGTGGAATCGGGGTGGTGCGCCAATCTGAGGACTTTTAATTCCTGAAGGGTGGGTTTTTGGGGTAATGTCTCGGGGGATGTGGACTCTATGGCAGGTTTATGGGGGTGTACGAAATTAAGGGGTGGATGGAGATTTTCAGAGAGCCGTTCTTTTGGGAATTTCGACATTTTTCATTCGTGGACGGTCTTTTGATGATGCTTTTTGCGGATCGATGGCTGGTGGGATGTCGATTTCTATGGCGATTTTATGGGGGAATTACGAAATTACCTTGGTCATGGTTACAGATTTTGTTAATGACTAATTGGGATATGTGGGTCCTCCTCGAAAGTTTGATCGGGTTGTTCTGATGCTCTTCGAGGGATTTCCCACGGATTAACAACGAGGGAAACGGCGAGAACACCGTGGAAATTTCATGGGGAAATGCGGCATTCATTTCGTTAGTGGAAGTTTGGCTCGCAGTCGCTGCTTTGAGAGTTTGGATGTATTGGTATCCGCGCTGTCCTTTGAGGAATTTTCCCCGGATGAATAACGCAAAGGAGACCATGGGAATATTATGGGAAAATTCCGGGATGACTTAGTCGATAATAACGTTCTCCGTTTTCATGTAATCAGGGCTCTCCAGGTGTTGCTTTTCCAGAGTTCGATTATCGCCTTACCCTTCTGTCCTTTGAGGGACTTTCAAGGATTAAAAACGATCCGAGCGGTCGACATCGTCGAAGTTTCATGGGATTTCATGGGGAAACCCAAAGCGATCCCCTTTACGTTATCAATATTTGTTAAAGCGACGTAAAGCGCATTTCCTTCTCCTCCGTGTTGACTTTTCAAGAAGTTTCCTCAGTTGAGATCGGAGTTTTATGGAGATTTTTATGGGGAAATATACAGATGTACCTATCTCGGCGATGGATTTCAGGTTTTTAGGATCTTGACTATTAAATCTATGCGACCATTAAATCCTTTTGTTTTTATCGAACAAAATGAGCAGTCGGGAGAGAATGGGAATCTCATGGGATTTTCATGGGAATTTCTCGAGGAAAATTCCGAGAGCGGTTTCATCGGTGTAAACGGATTCCATTAGCGCGTCATTAAGCTCGTTCGAGTTTTTTTTCATTTTTACACTTTTTCCCATTAAGGTCGTTTTCCTCCGGCGTGATAATTTCATGGGATTTCATGGTAACTTGGCGGGAAAAACGTTCCTAGTGATTTCTTCGATGCTAATGAATTCCGTTATCTCGTCGTTAAGGACGTTTCATTTTCTTTTCTCTTTTCGTATTGAGATCGTTTTTCTCCGGCGAGATTTCATTACCATTTGGCGGGAAACATTTCTAACGATTTCTTCGGAGGCGAACGGATTCCATTATCTCGCCATTCAGCACATTTCATTTTCCACTGTTCTTTTTTTTTTCCTGCCGAGATCGTTTTTCTCCCGAGAGGTAATTTCATGGGATTTTATGGGAACTTCGCGAAATACATTCCGAGTCATTTCTTCAGTAGGAATGAATTCCATTATCTCGTGGTGAAGGGCGTTTCATTTTCTTTTCGACTTATATCCTATCAAGATCGTTTTTCCCAGGGAAATAGTTCCATGGGTTTTTATGGGGATATCGTGAAAAATAGTCCGAGCAATGTCTTCGATGCTAACGGATTCCATTATGTTGTCGTTCAGCACATTTCATTGTTTTTACCGCTTTGTCATATCAAGATCGTTTCTCTTCAGTGAGATAATTCCATGGGACCCCATAGGAACTGCGAGAACCAACCCAAATATTTTCGGAGCAAATGAATTCCATCATCCCGTCGTAAAGAACATTTCACTTCCTTCTTTCTATCAGTTTTCTCTCCGGTGAGATAATTCCATGGGACCCCATAGGGACTTCGCGAGAGACATTCCAAAAAATTTCTTCGATGCAGACGAATTCCATCATCTCGTCATAAAGAACATTTCACTTCCTTCTTTCCATCGGTTTTCTCTCCGGCGAGATAATTCCATGGGACCCCATAGGGACTTCGCGAGAAACATTCCAAACAATTTCTTCGATGCAGACGAATTCCATCATCCCGTCGTAAAGAACATTTCCCTTCCTTCGTCCCTTTTTCTATCGGTTTTCTCTCCAGCGAGATAATCCCATGGGGTTTCATGGGAAGTTCGCGGGAAACGTTCCGAGTGATTTCATCGGCGCGAACGAATTTCCCGACGTCGAGCCCACTCTATTCTTTTTCCCACTTTGTCCTATCAAGATCTTTTTTCCTGGGCGGGATGAACCACGGGGGAGTCGGGGGAATTTCATGGGAAGGCCCTGGAGTGATTTCCCCGATAATATCGGATTTCGTTAATATGTAATTAGGGCTGTAGGCAGAGGCTCGAGAGTCTTTCTCTTCGCCTCCTTTGCCAGCTTCCGCGTCTTCGTCTTCGGGTCCTCCAATTGGGATTTGCGTCGGCGAGGATCCGCGGGACACTCTCGCTGGAAAATTAATGGAACGCCCGGGAAATTTATGGACAGATTCGAGAGTCGTTCCGCCGATAATCCCGGATTCCGTTAATACGTAATTAGGGCCGTAACCGCCGCTTCGAGTTTCTCTTCGCCGTTTCGGGAAAACGTTTCCGCGGCAACCTCCCAGGAATTCCAATTTCGACTCAAATCCAGCTCCGACTGCGGACGCGGCGCCCTCGGACAGGGAAATTAAAACCGAATGGAAGATTAATGCCCTCCGCCGAAATTCCTGGAAAATGAGACCTTCGACACGGGCTTAAGGGCCTCGAAAATTCGATCCCCCGTGTTACGGGTTTACCGACTTTGCAGATTCTCGGGAATCTTTGAGGTTATGCCGTGGGAATTACTCGGAGTTTAATTCTTAAGGTTATGTGAAACTCCCTTCGATCAGTTGTTCCGAAATTCCTGGAAAAGGAGACCTTCGACACGGGCTTAAGGGCCTCGAAAATTCGACCCCTCGTGTTACGGGTCTACCGACTTTGCAGATTCTCGGGAATCTTTGAGGTTATGACGTGGGAATTACTCGGAGTTTAATTCTTAAGGTTATGTGAAACCCCTTTCGATCGGTTGTTTCGAATAAGACACTTTCTTTTTAAGGGTATTGCATCTATTTGAAACTTTGAGACATGAAATTAAAACCCAATGGAAAATTAATGCCCTCCGCCGAAATTCTTGGAATGTGAGACCTTCGACACGGGCTTAAGGCTTAAATTAATTTCGCCGGTTAACTCACACAGCACCTAAACACGCACTAATGATACCCTTTCATCCTAAATAAATCGGAAAATGAATAGTGGGAACTCCCAATCTTTAATATATACATGTCTAAACTAAAAAGATCCACTTTTAGACGAGAGAAATCTCATTCAGCGTAAAAAACCCTGCACCTGAAACTAATTTCGCCGGTTAACTCACACGGCACCTAAACACGTACTAAGGAAACCTTTTAATCTTAAATAAATCGGAAAATGAACAGTGGGAGCTCCCAATCTTTAATAAATACATATCTGAACCAAAAAGATTCACTTTTAGACGAGAGAAATCTCATTCAGCGTAAAAAACCCTACACCTGAAATTAATTTCGCCGGTTAACTCACACAGCACCTAAACACGCACTAAGGGAGCTCTTTAATCTTAAATAAATACCAAAAAAGGAATAGTGGGAACTCCCAATCTTTAATAAATACATGTCTAAGCTAAAAAGATCCACTTTGCACCTGAAATTAATTTCGCCGGTTAACTCACACGGTACCTAAACACGCACTAAGGGAACCCCTTAATCCACGCCGAGCGACGAAGAGCTCTTCTGGCTCCGTTTCGGCGGATTTTTCTCGGAGGTTCGCGCGATAAACTGCGAATCCCGAGAACCGCGGGAAATTGACGGAGAAATTCGAGAGCAATCTCGGGGATAATTGGACATTTCGTAGAAATTTAATTAGAGACGCAGGCGATGCCTAGTCGCGGGAGAAGTGCCGGCTCTCTAAATACCTTTCTTTTCTGTTGGGCGGATAATGCCGGGGAGGCTTGCAGTAACGTTAATTGACATTTAAACTTGATTTTTAGCGACACCGAGGATAAGGTAACGCGAGTAACGGATTAACGATGGGAATTAAAAGTGTCGCCAATTAACTGAGGCAGGAGACCCGCGGTTAATTAACGATAAGTACCGAAAACGATGATCACCCGTCGATCCTTTTGCGCGCCATTTTCAAATTAATTTCGCTCGTTATCATTTCTCGATTGGTGGTTTATTTCGTTCCTTTTTTAATTTCAGGGTAGGGACTCAGTTTTTCCAGTCTCGGGGATATTGCCGCCATTTTGGGGCTTTTGATAAGGCTAATGGATTTTTTTTTAGCTTTTTGCGG